TGCAAACTATCATTAAAAGCTTTCATCCAGCTAACCACAATTTTTGAAAAACCAAAAACTTACTTTAAACTATTGCCTTATCTCCTACATCCTTTCAATCAATTCAGAGGGTGCAGATGAAAACTCACACCACTTTCTGAAAGATCACGGCACATGGACTCCATATATGAGGTCTTACCATCATGGGGTGGATGGGGACATTGAACACCCCTGATTCTCTAGCTTGTGTGCAAAGTCTACTTAGCATTGAGTCATGTGTGACGAAGCAGCACAACAAGCTGCAGAGGCCTAGCCCATGTTGCAATGCGGCAGCATCTGTGATGGACTGATCATAGACATGGCTGTCTGCTATGGTAATTACTCATTACTTCTTTAATATTACAACACTACCCTGTCAATTGACAACTATCTATGTCACTAAATGCAGCTGAGGAATCAAAAAGGCAACAAACCTGAGCTGCTCCAGTGATCATGTTTGGAATGAAGTCTTTGTGTCCTGGGGCATCCATGAGTGTTATCAATTTGGTTTCTGTCTCAAACCTTGTTAAACCAACATCCATTGTTATTCCCCTGTCAAAAAATCAGCACATCACTCAGATTGGTTAACAAAGAATTCATCAAAACAGAGGCTGGTCTTTGATCTCACATATCCCCTTCCTTGCCACAGTACAAAATTAATTGATTAGGGTTAGGGTTATTACATAATAAGCTGAATTATGCTTGCATTTTGATTGGTCCTTACCTATGATCTATTACAGGACAAGACCCATAGATGACCTCACCATTAACAACATTTTGCCTTTTATCAAAGGAAACAAATAGTTTCCATGTGGCCATGGGTCTGTTCAGTAAAAGATAACAGGACAAGTCAAAATATGGTCAGGACATCAGAGACCAGCCACTTTTTGTTCTTGCCACATTTTGACTTTATCTGTGATCTATTACAGAACAGATGCTCGGCAACAGGGAATCTATTTGTTAAATAGGTAACTTACCTTTCTCTTTCCTCACCAGTCTCATCCAGAACCCAGGCATATGCAAAAGAAGCTTTTCCTGCTTTTTTACTCTCCATTTCATATGTATTCCAGTTAAGAAAAGGTTACTTATGTGAGATCTTCATTAGTACACGCTGGCCAAAGATCTGCAATGGGTCTATCCAGTAAACCTCCCAACAACTCATTTCAAATCTGCCCACACATGGAGAAACGCGGGTCCTGCTAGGCTAAAAATGAGCTCCTGCTCACAGGCTACTGACACATTGCCAAGGATAACTAACAGAATACCAACTTTCCTGGAAGCTTTATAGTGCAGTTAATGGGATGGGGTGCCAAGCTTCCAGGTAAGTTCCTGAATCTTAACCCTTTAAACCCTAAGAGTGACCAGTATCTAATTCCTCCTTACAGTAATACTGCTGATCCATTCATTAAAAATATGAGAATGAAGGAAATGGTCGCCAAGCTAAAAAGCTTGCATTGTTAAACAAATTCTCCTTTTTTAGTACCAAAGGAAATATTTTGAGAAGAGTAAGGAGAAAATGGATCCTGATCATAGGGTGTAAAGGGTTTATAGACTTTGTCTCAAAGGGAAACATTTTAACTTGGACGGTTTTTCAAAAACGTGGTAAGAGGAGACAAGCATTACATAGAAAGTGCCATCAAAATTCAGTTTTGGTTGCTACCGGTTTTGCAAAATATTCTTCAAATCACAATTCAGTAATCCCATTGTTACTTTATCACTAAAAAAACTTTTTAGGAAGGCAAGATCTACATGTATTAATTCGTAATATATAAATGGAAGTACTTAAAATTCAGAATCCTAAATGAGCAATAATCCTCTTGTCCTTACTCTGATGATTTGAATAAACAATGTCAAATCATTCTTACAAATTGTAAAAATTATAAAAATCCTCTACAATGTATAAACTATAATAAACTATTTGACAAATAATTTATAGAATAAATTTTTTAAATGAAAAGGATATTTATGCATTGACTTTTTAGAAACATCTCCAAGACGATAAAGAAGATGACCCATGAGTGTGCTTTTCCCAGCATCAACATGACCTGACAAAAAAATTAAAGTAATTTTAATTGCAATTCAGTCATTTGTCATTACTTGACACAATACTGTGATTTTCAGTTGAGTGGTGCAGGAAGGAAGTTTGAAGACCACATTTTCAAGTGGCAAATTATTGTTTGACTTCCTTTGATGGCTTTTATGTTTGATGGTTGGTGACACACAGCCCTTGAGATTTGGTTACCATTGGAACCAAGGAAGGTTGCCTGTGACAACACTGTTACTTCACCATAAAAGCCCAGTTGCTAGACTTTTTCCATGCCTCAATCAACTGAAAATTGATGTAGGAATAATCTGTTCTATTAGCTAACAGTGATTTTAAAAGAACTAACCAACAGCCCATGATTTTATCATCTTCTTGTCAATAAATTTTAGACATAGATGGTGATCATTTAAAGTTCAACCACATTTACACATTTTTAAGGGTGATTTTTTTTGTTCCAAGATTATAGTCTTAATTCAGGAAAATTTAATTGTGGAATTACCTACCAATCACCACCAAATTAAGAAGAATTTTTCCTCTCTGACGCCTGTCATACTCTTCTTGCACCTGCGGTCAAAAATTGAAGTGAATGCAATTTATGAGGCATTTGATAATAATAATGACCTACCAAATAAAGCAAAAGTTGCTAGCAAGGCTTCTTTCCCATGGAGGAATGTGATACAACTTGTGATGAAAAAGTTTCATTAGACCTACAGGTTGATTATCAAATAGTGCAATGATCTTGTTAGACCTAACAATTGAAAATCAAATAAGGTAATGATCCTCGCTGATGAGCTATACAGGAAAGAAGAACTCCCTAAAAAATTTGCCCTGCTTCCAAGCTGTCGCTTTGTAGGTCAGTTGGTAGTTGCGCCTAACAAGTATCTGAGAAGCCTAGGTTTGAATCCTGTAGAAGCCTAATTTTTTCAGGATTCTTTTAAAGTGCTTAAATGTTAAATGTCTTTATTCAAACTCAGATTGAAAAATGATTAATAAACCCTTTAACTCCCAGGATCTGATTGTTAATTCTCCCCTCTTGCTTCTACTCATTCCCTGGTAAATTTGTTACGAGAATTTGGTGATAGATCAAGATAACAACTTCTACCTGTCTAAGTTTGAGTATTCTCATTACCTGTTTGCTCAGTAATGTATGGATATTATGGGGAGAAGTTACATGTTAATCACTTCTGGGAATTAAAGGGTAAAAAGTTTTGTCCAGCCTAACAAGTAACTGTAGATTTATGACTGTGATAAAGGAATGAACTGCATATCATAAGAATATCAAAAAATATGAAAAATGATGACTTCAACCTCCTTCTCTCTGTTCTTGGCAGCTATTCTTTGTTTGCTAGTGTCTGCTGATTTAGCTTGGTCTGTGTCTTCTTCAAGTGGTACTTCAGGAGAGCTACAGAATAGAAACTTAAAACTTAACACGTCCTCTGAATTAGAGTTTGAGAAGTCTGATGACTGAGAAAGAGCATAGCTGGCAGTTGGGGAAAAGAGCAAGGAAAATGCAGCTCTTGTTTATTACTAAGGTAAGATAAGAAAGGCATGAACTAGAATTATCAACACAAGAATGATTTTTAATCAAAATAATCTTTGCAGTGTGCTATTTTTGTTGCTGGTCCACAGTCATCTATTTTTTTTGATAGTTATGCAGGAAAGTGCAAAGCTAGTTGTGACTTTGAAAGAAATTTGAATAAATTAACAGTTTGACCCCAAAGAGTGACTTGCATCTAATTTCTCCTCACAATATCACCCATGAATCCAACATTACAGTCAAGTGAATATAGAATTGATCACCAACTTAAGAAGTTCTTGATCGTTTAACAAATTCTCCTTCTTAGCACTTTGAGAAATGTGTAGAAAACAGTATGGAGAATATGCATACTGATATAAGAGTGCGAAGGAGTAATGTCAAAAAGTGGTTTCACTCTTACCTTTCCATTGATTTCTTTTTTTCAGTTGAAGGAGTTGAAAAGCCCAATGATGCCTTTTCTGACAGAGCTGTAACCAGAGGAGTAACTGGATCCAACACACCTTCCTTCTTGTTGTTGCTTGCCGCATTATTCAGGAGAGGATGATGAAGCTTGATCTGTGGTTCAGGATCTTTTTGTACACTGCTATAGTTCCCTGATATATAAACCATAACAGTTATTTCAAAACTGCAACTTTTTTCATAATATCAAGGTCAGTCCTTTCACTCACAGGAGTGACCAAAGAGGAATTTCTCCTTGCAGCATCAATATACTTTCCAGGAAAAAGGTGATTAAAATAAAGCAAAAAATATCACCTGAGGGAAATGACTTGATTTTGTACCCAATTCTCAGAGCTCAAATCTAAAAAAGTGTATAGATGACAGTGTGGAGAATTGATTTTTGGATCTTGGGGCTGAAAGGGTTAACTGACAAGGCAAAAGTGAAAAACAAAAAAAATCATTTTGGAAAGGAAAGGGGGAGCTGATGACTAACACAAAGTGAACAGAAGAGCTTAAGACATGATCAGGGACAATATAAGGAGGTTGTCTCCCCCTCCCCTTCCACCACAACCAGAGGAAAGGCACCCTGCCCTACTCTTGCAGGAAAGCCAGAACTAATTGGCCAAGCAAAAGCTGATAGGAGCCTCACAAACTGAAATAAGGTGAACCAGAGAGCAGGTTGACAAACCAGTGATAAATATTGGTAGAAGAGGAGAACAGACAAGGAAAGCTCATTGTGGGGAGGCAAAATGTACCCCTTTGTACAAAGAGGTACTATAAGTTAAGTGGTCTATAACCTTATCTCTAGCTGTGTATTTCAATTTACTAGTTACAGATAATTGAAAAAAAAACTATGAACATTTGAATCTGAAGGATTTTATTTCAAAGAATATCACAGCAAAATCACTATATCACTAAATATACAATTAACATTTATAAAAAAAGTAATTCTTAGACTGCACTTTATTTTTCCTTTCAGGTAAAGAGTCTTTTCCCAGGTTGATTTTAAATTTCTTTTTAATAATTGTCGTCTTACCTTATGGTTCAAAATCAAGGCATGTAACAAAGGAAATTGCAAATCAACCTAGAAGCAAATTTAACCCTTTCACTCCTAAGATCTAATTAGTAAAACCTTCTCACTCTCTGCCACACAATTCTTGTTTTGTTAGTTTAGAGAATTTGGTATTGGATCAACTAATACTCTCCATTATTTTTCTTGTCACTTCTCTGCTTGATGTTTCATTGCAAGGAGAAATTCTGTCTTGGTTGCTCATAGGAGTTAAAGGGTTAACAGCAATACTGACATTGGAATTCAAATGCAGTGTTTAGACAAACATCACATAACTAAAACAACTTTGGTGCAGTATTATCTCTTAAAATACAAATAAGACATTACACTTTGTTCTTTGTTTCCCCAGCGACATAATTTAGTCAATAAAACTTACAATTGGGTCAAACTTTCCAACATATACATTTAGCTGTAAATATTTAAAACAACAGCAAATTTACACAAATTTTAAAAATATAGACAATTACAGGGGGAAAAATTATCTTGCTTTCTAGAATTGTGTTTTTTTTTAAACTTCATATTGAAATATTATATTGATGAAGTTTTACTCCGTTTCAATTTAATTACTATCAAGCAATGAAATAAAATCAGCCGTGCTTGGTATATTGCATATCTAAGCCTAATCAATGTGTAATTTTTTCTTGAATTCCTTTTGACTGTCATTTCTTTCTTAAAAATGCTTTCTTTTGCTTTTCATTCACAATATCGTCAGGTGATGGCGAAGAGAAGTCAAAAGGGGTTATGTTGGAGAGATCTGCATTGTAAAGCTGCTTGACTACTCTTTGAGCAGCTGCATTATGGGCAGAGCACATTGTTAAAGCAAACATGGTTGGTTTTGCTCTCAATGGAGACAGTCTTATTTGTGTTTTACCACCATCTCTTTCTACCTCTAAATGCTTTTTTGTTCTTTTGCCATTGTAAATATTAACAGAATCTTTCTCTGCACTTGTTGCAACATGTATTGGTTTGTTATTCCCAGCATGCACTGATTTTAACTGTTCTTGGTTCACAGGCACGTCAGACATGGAGGGCATCACAGGTGTTTTTACGCCTTTGTGTTCCATTGTCTGGTTGTGATTATGATCGTTCTCCTGCTGGTGAATGCCACTTAAATTGCCATGGATCTTCAGGTCAGTTAATTTGAGAACCAAAGAATTTCCATTTAAAGTACCAACATTTGATAGTGGACTTGATGAAAGGGATGTGCCAGATGACTGAGACAGTTTTGAGGGTGATGTGTCCATTCCACTTCCTGGAGAGTGTCTTACATGCAATAAACTGCCATGCAGCATTGACAATGAAGGTCCCTGTGTAATAACCTCTCCTGATTCTGACCCTGATTTTGAAATCTCAGCCAAGTTCCTAAGGGGTAAGGAAAATGCAGAGCTTTTGGATGTAGAGTTAAGTAAAGATCCAAGGGTTGTTTCACTAGTGGATGCACTGCCTTTCTGTGAGACACTATTAAGAGGTGAGAGCAGAGGGCTGCTTGACAAAGAATTAGAGGGTCCAAATGAGCCTTTCTGGGAAGACAACTGTGACAAACTCTTCAATGTCAGGGAAGGGTTGTGGAGACCACTGTTTGGCGGCTCTGACAGTGATGATTCTCCTATTTGGCCTGAAAGACTGCTGAGAGGAACCGAAAGAAGAGATGATGATGACAATGGCAATGCTTGTCCTGATAATGAGCTCTGTTGGGAAGATAACTGTGACTGTGAAGTGTTCAAAGTCAAGGGAGGGTTGTTAGTGCCATCCATCACCAGCTTTGAAACTGATGATATTCCTAACTGCCCTGAAAGACTGCTTAGAGGAACTGACAATAGAGATGATGATGAAGATGTCACTGGCTGAGTTGACAAAGGACCTTGCTGAGGAGACAACTGCGATAGACTGCCCAAGGTCAGGGGGAGCTTGTTATTATCTGTGTTCTGTGACTCTGACAAAGATGGTAGTCCTCCTAGGCCAGAAAGATGGCTAAGAGGAACTGAAAGAGATGTCACTGACTGTACAGATAATGACCCTCCTGAGCGAGACAAGCTACTTAGAGGGGCTGCTAACAGAACACTTTGTGCTGGCATCTCTGATCCATCACTGACTCTTGCTTGGTGTGACTGAGCAACTGCTGCCAATGATAATGAAGTGGGAGGTGACACAGTGTGAGGAGGTTCAGATACAGATACAGATACTCCATCTATATTAAATGACCCAACAGATTTTGTGTTTGAGTTTGAAGACAAAGATGCTGCGATGGTTGGTTTGCGCAAAACACTGTCATTTGATGACGAGTTGTCAGCAGATGATCCTTGAGCCAAAGTGTTTAAAGATAATGCCGTAGGAGAAATGCCTGACAAACTTACTGAGCCAGAATTATTTGCCAACAAAGTTGTTTCTTTAGTTGTTTTGAGATTCTTTTTTCTACCTGCAGACAACTGCTTTGCAACAGCTTTTTTGCATAGTCTATTTTGCTCATTGACTTGAACCTGTTTTTCTGACTGGGTTTGAAATAATTCACAATCTTACCTTGTGAAAGCCATACAACAGGAAGAACATCACACAATGAAGAACATGGAAAAGAAGAACAAACAGGCATAAAATTAGTTTATGAACTGTTGAAGGCAATACTTAAAAGTGACCATAATGATGATGGTGCTATAATTTCATAAAAACTTCTCAATGGTGAAGTCAACTTAACAAATAGATTCCAAGTTGCTGTGCGTCTGTTCAGTAATAGATCACAGATGACGTCAAGATGTGGTAAGAACAAAAAAGTGGCACACGAGGTGTAGCCGAGTGTGTCACTGATGTTCTTACCACATTTTGATGCCCTCTGTGATCTATTACTGGACAGATGCACAGCAACTTGGAATCTGTTTGCTTTGTATAATAAAGAATTAAAAAAAGTTTTAATGATGATGTCATCTATATGTCTGTCCTCCAATAGATCATAAGTGAGAACCAATCAGAATGCGTGCATAACTGAGCTTATTATATAAAATTATATGGTTAGTGGGGCATGCTTCTTCTTTAACCCTTGACACCCTAACATCAGTATGTATATTCTCCATACTGTTCTCCATACATTTCTTAAGGTGCTGACAAGGAGAATTTGTTGAGCAATCAAGAGCCTCTTTCGTTGATGACCATTCCCTTTATTCTTGTGACCTAACTGTTTGATTGAGGGGTGAAATTGTAAGGAGAAATCAGATGCTGGTCACTCTAAAGGGTTAACCCTTAAACTCCCATGAGTAACCAAGAGAGAATTTCTCCTTACAATATCAATGCTATATTAACCAGATAAGTGACAAGATTAAAGAAAAATATCAATTTGGGGATAAATAGTTGATCCAAAACTAAATTCTCCAAACTAACATTCTAAGAATTGTATGGTTGAGAGTAAGGAAAATTACAAATTTGATCTGGGAGTCAAGGGTTAAGGGGCTAAGTATGAGAAAATACCAGAGATTAGATCTCAATTGGTTCTGACGTTGCACCTGATTCATTGAGAGGGTGGCACAAGTTTGCTGGATTAATATTATCATAGAGCCAGAAGACGTACAACCAAAGTATCCCCTCATAACCTTTTAACCCTTTAACTCCCAAGATCTCATTAGTAATTCTTTTTACTGTCTGACATACAATTCTCATGATGTCAGTTTGGAGAATTTGGTATTGGATCAACTAATAATCTCCTAATTGATAGTTTACTTTATTCTCATCACTTCTATGCTTGATATTGTGTTGATATTGTAAGGAGAAATTCTCTCTTGGTCACTCATGAGAGTTAAAGGGTTAACTCCTAAGAGTGATAAGTATCTAATATCTCCCAACAGTATCACCCCTAAATTAAACATTAAGTTCATGAGAATAACAGAAATGGTTGGAAACTCAAGAAGCTCTTGATTGTTCAACAAGTTCTCCTTGCAAGCACCATAGGAAATGTATAAAGAACAGTATAGAGAACTTGCATACCGATGTTAGGTGTAAAGGGTTAACTTTTAGCACTCAACTGAAAATTGCTCTAGTCATTGTGTTCTTATATAAGCTCACCTTTACTTCCAGCTGGACGTGAGTTATCCTTGATGCCCTGCTTTTCCCCTGGAAAAACAAAATAAAAACAGAATTAACCTGAAATCAATGCAATCAACTCCCCTTGATCTATCTGCTAAACACTTCTATGGTTAGCAGACAAACAACACAAGACAACATATTAACAATAATCCTAAATCCTGGACTCTCTCATTAGACATGGCACATTTTTTGTAACTCGTGAATGTGCAGTAAGGAATACTTCTGTCATAGAGGGCCAGACTGCTAACAACTTGCTAAATATTTTTACAAGGTCAATTCCAAAAATTAAATAATTACAAAAATTAAAAATTAGCAAGGTTTAATCAACTTTGCCATGTACATGGTTATAAAAAAAATTGTTCCAACCTGTACAATTATGAACCTGAACATAATTTGACCTGTAACATACACAGTAGAACATACCACCACTAAGAATTTGATCCAGAGCCCTCTCTAAGTCAAAGTTGTTCTGTATAACTGCCGTTACAGCTGTGCATTCATCTAAGTTCTCTCCAAGAATAGAATGTAGTTGATCCAAACAAGAGGATAATTTTTCTGAAAACCCAGTGTAAGAGAGTCACATGTGATGAACAATTTTAAATTAGATAGTAAATTTAGTATCCAGATAGTTGCACTCAAAATAAAAATGTTAAAAATAACCACAATTTCATTTTTTCACATTAAGTATTGTTTTTGCTCAAGTCTAACACTATAAGTGTGTGGATTTTAAATTAAATAAATGGGCTGACTGCAAATCTGCATGATTTCAGTTACGGCATATCTATTAAGATGTTAGTGTAAGAGTCCAGCCTTGAAATTCAGATTTCCCTTATCTCCATATTGTTTTAATTCCTTTTCCTTTAGTATTTTACCTTCACTCCTGGGATCTAACTGAGGTCTTCTGTAGTCCTGTGATGTAGCCAGAGGTTCGTCATCAGATTCTTCTTCATCTTCTTCTTCCACTCTGCCAAATCTATCAGCCATGTATGCTGATAGATTTGGGTCCCGACTATTGCTACGTCTGAACAGGAATTCCTCAGCTGATGTGCAATAAAATTCAATGAAATATTGTTAGTTAATGTCCCACTCAATTAAACAACACCTATGACATGACTTCCACAGTCACAGGTTTTTTAAACTTCCTGCCTTTTAATGACCAACTGATTAAATAATTTCACACAGACCTCCCCTCGCAGCCATTCTCTTCACCCAAAAAATTATGTTTTCAGTAAGTCACATACAGTGTACATGAATTTATGGTTCCTTACAAGTAACATAAAAAAATTTGACTTTCTTCTAACCCAACATCAGCTTGTTGTTCAATTTCATCAAACAATATTTACTTTAGGGTAAACCCAAACTCTTTTTACTACACATTTCCTTGTAAATTAGTTGCAAGGATTTGGTGTTAAATCAAGAGTATTCTCATGACCTGTCTGCTGGATAATGTATAGATGTTTTAAGGAGAGGTTACATGTTAATAACTTCTGGGAGTTAAAGGAGCAATACCAATTACACCTTTTAGCCCTACCAAATTTTAAAAGTATACATAACCCCTACCAGTGGTTGGTGATACTGCTATGTCATAATCCTCCACTGAATGACCATACACATCATCAGACATGTCTACAGTTAAATGAAAAAATTGATGACCAAAAGGCAACACATATATTGTCTTACTTAAGTTAACTTCTACAAAATATAGTCAGTACCAATCACTGACAAATCATCATGTGCATGTGGTGTTGCACTTTTTGTTGAAACTGAGTTCAATTTCACATTTGATCTGACATTCTTAGACATTTTCATTTCCCCACATTGATCACTGCAAGTTTACAGCCATGAACATAACAAGACCTTGGGGATGAATCAACCGAGTGAATTGGTACGATTTTGTTGCAGCCCAATGATTTATTACGATTATGAGACCTTCCTTGCTATCTGTGAAGGTCTTTTTACGAGATGGACAATCCCGAAATACCCGAGACTTATCCTATGTTGCAAAATTGTACGTATGCATATATAATGAAGTATGGGGTGAAATGTACATTGAAATCTTGGCGATAATTTCCGTAAAGCTCTCCGAATGAGAATCTGATACATTTACTTCATGTTACATACATCTGAGCTAATAGAATTACTACGATCAGCGCGTGTTTTAGAAAGCCTAACATCTCTACTTTCCACGTTTGGGCTTCACAATGTAACTCAGAAAAAGATAACATTTGGTTTGAATTAATAACAATCAACATGTACTATACCGTCTTCGTAGGCATAATTTCTGTAGTTTCTATGCCTTGCCATTTTATTGATCTAGTTTCTTGAAGACGATCGGTCGATCACGATGCAAAGCTCTTCAGATACGATCCGCACAAAGGGGAAAGCCATGAAGACACTCTTCTCCACAAGGAAGCCATATTGAAAAGGACGATTCAACCTCGATTTGAGGATTTAGAACCAGACCTCCGCACGATACGAGCCTCAGATTATTCGTACATAAAGAGTGACAGGACTTTTTTATTTTCATATTCTGTTTGTAACTAATGGTATTGATGGATGGTGTTTTGTCCAGAAATTGTTTATCATTTGATGATAACGATAAGAGAGTTAGAGAACATCCTACTTTGGGGTCAATAAAAGGCCTTCGATAGTAAAAGTTTCCCTACAAATTTAGAAATCACGATTGAACTACGATTCACCTTGCTCAATTCAGCCAATGCGCGAAGAATCCAGACAGCTACACAGGCGTAAGATACCGCCGACTTCTCAAACTGACAAGGAAAATAAAATCGTGTGAAGGCAACAAGGGTGTATTTTATGGCACGCAAAGTTCCAAATCCAGGGAAAACATCATCACCATAGTGCACACCCTGACAGTCACCAAGAGGGTCGGATAAGAATGGACATAAACTTGATGATGTCCATCTTCCTGTTCAGGGTTTCTCTTTCTCCTGGGATAAAGAGGTCTTGGATACAGACCAACGAGGAGGAGAGGGGGAACCTAAAGTTGTCGAACTTTGTGCCTTGGGTTCCACTCATCCGAGATGCAGAGGTCTTTACCTAATCTGGGTACGAAGGATGCGGTTGTAGTCAAGCCAGTCACACTGTGCCTGATGAAAAGCTGAACTGAATTACTGAGTTCTTCAGGTCACCTGCACCGGAAGACTTAAATTTGAGGGAAGCGCTAAAGATTTGTTCAATAAAAAAGAAATATACAGAAGCAAAAAATAAACAAAGGAGGAACGATGACGAATAGGGATCCAGAAGATAAAACAGAGAAAATCATCGATTTCTTCAAATCGCTTTCACCGAGGCTGGTGTCATAACTGTAAAAAAAGTTGATGGGGTGAAAAGAGGAGCCAGCCACTCATCAAGAATTTAGATCGACGGGGAGTGAAAAATCAATGAAATCACAGACCAAAAAATCAATAAAAACCAAGTGGTGTTTGCCCATTATTCTAAGTTTATTACAAAATAATTTTCTTAATGGTATGGCCGTAGTTTCTTATTAATATATAAAAAACGCCAATAATGTAGTAAGGCCACCATAATAACGATAGACAATAAGGAGATACAAAATCTGCACGGCAAATTGTCATTACCATAATATATATGATAGTAACCTCTATTTAAAATAGACAACCAGCAGTCCCTCCTTTTCAGAGAAGTCTGTCGCACGAGTCAAAAAATGATCAGCGGAAAAAAAAGACGACGTTGTTAGCGCGCCGCTCGCAACTATGGGAAAAAGGTGCCTAATCCCCAGAGTTCTGCGCGGCGCGCGAACATCAATCTCTTTTTTTCCTCTGTCTTTTTTTTCCGACTTGCGCATCGAAGTGAACGGACTTCGCCGAAAAGGAGGGACAGTCCCGTAGTCTACCTCTTTAATACTTCCAATCATCCCTATATTTGGGCTGTAAAGGGTAACCTTGTGCAAGAGCAAAGATCTAAAACATACAATAACCCAAAGAAACAAGCCAAAAAAACGGAAAAAATAAAACAAAAATGAAACCACGAAACAAAATACACAACACAAACAAAGAAACAAACAAACTGAACAGGTTGAGAGTTCTTGCACTCATGCTTCCTTCACCTCCCATTACTCTAAATACCTCAGTTTCACCACATTGCAACATGAAAGCGAATCAAGAAATCACTTTGACTACTATTTGACTATTGCATTCTATTTTTCCAACATTCCATTCTCTGTTATTTCATACCCTAACTCAAGTTTCAAACTAGGGCGTTCACGCATCTCTAGTAACCTCATCCACGAGATCTCACAGAAAACTATTGTGCATATACTTGCCCCTTCATCCAATGTTTGAAAAAGAGTACAAAAAAATTTTTTAATAAATAAGGTAGGTATAAAATGCAATGGCGCTCAAAAAGGGTCAATATTCTCACCACACCCCTCCACCGCCCCACTGTCCCCCCCAAAGGTTAAATTAAATTCACTTGGATCGCTTAAATAAAAAGTCTGCGATCATTAATCAAACAGTCAGACTTTAACGATCTAATGCCGAAATCCTCCATCAAATTACTATGCATTCCTTAGTAGATTAGTTACAACAATTTGGTGCTCTGTGCCATGATTATAATTTCTAGCTGACAAGTTTGTCTATTCTCAATACTTGTCTGCTAGCTTATTTGTTGATATTGCATGGAGAATTCACATGTCAATCACTTCTGGGAGTTAAATATGCAAGCTATTGTTGGTCACACAAGTAGAGGTTAACACGAACTGTGTGCTACTGATGTAAAAAAAAAAAAAAAAAAAAAAAAAAGGCCACCGGAAACACGTCATTTGAATCAGTATCGCGTCTTTATAACACTGGTGCATTTCACAGGAGTGCGAGTTGGGGAGAGAAAGAAAAGATGGGACGATGATAATGCAAACCGCACTTTCTAGGTACTTCAGATCTTAGGAGGTAATACATTCATCTCATTCTCCTTTCCCATTGACACCCGCGCTCCGTCTCCACCCGCGTCATGAAAACGACTCAGGAAAAGTCGGGATATGAAATTTCCCCTCTCTACCCCACCCCTCCGAGGAACGAGAAGGTAAAAAAGCTTGCTTCTAGTACCCAATAAAAAGGTTATGTGTTGCTTATTGTTGGTTATTTTTTACATCATACACCAGAAAATAAGGCGAGGGGCGAGGACAACATCTTGCTGTCTTTCATAGCTTGCAGGTATACCTCCACGACATGACTTTCAGAACGTCTGTGAAAGATACAAGTGAACGTTGGAAATAGGTTAGAGACACTGACGAGAGCAGGGTATTTAAAAGCCAAATCAACTGGCGCATGCCCCTAATTTACGCGTGTGACACAATCTCGTGTAGCACGTGCGACACGAGCAGACACAGCTAGGTTTTGAGTTGGGGGCCTGGTAACTAATCGACTCCAGGGCTTATCTCGGTTTCCACTGCATGTAGTAACTACAGTATAGTGTTACTCCACCAAGCTGCAGGACATGCAAGATTACCCCCCTTTGCATTTGGCGCGGTTTCCTTGGCTGTTCGTGATAACAGTTTATACTCATGTCCATGAACAACCATATGTTCCGTCAGGGCTTTAAAAACTGGACCTTTCGATGTGGTTAAAGCGCGCTGACCACTATGCCACCGTACCTTCCGCATTTTGAAAAAAAAAATTGTTTGTACCTTTTGTATTATTAACAAAAGAAGGTAAGAGCTATAGAAGAAAAAAAACCGAGTGAAACTAACCTCTTCATCGTCACAATCTCGAGTCCAATGTCCAAAAACTACATGGGATGATCATAGTAAAATTGTTTAGTTTTTAGCTAAAATTGCTGGTAATACTCTTACTGGTGTTAACGTTCACATTAGTTCATAACTTGAAGCCACGTTAACCCCAAAATTACCAAGTGCTATTCAAATTTACGGAAGGAGTCACGCAGGTTCCTTCTTTTAGAGTGGAGAAGTAGGTCCTCATTCACTTGACAGGTATTGTAAACTACACCTCCAAATGCGTCACGTAAAAATAATGACGTAATACACAAGTCTTTCTCATGGTAACTTAGCAAATTATTACTAGTTCATTTAAGCAAGAGACCGTACTTTCCATCGGTTTACCGGCGGAACAACCCACGCGACTTGTTGAACACCAGAAAAGTTTGTAAATCCCGAGCCAGAGGCCGTTCAATAAACGAGAGGTTTTTCAGCAATTAACCAATCAGTGTTAGCTACCTAACGCACTTTAAGACAGGTTTCGATGAAATTCTACTCAGTCTTGCACTTGGGCAATTGCCGCCAAGCGAAGACAACACCAGAAGCTCTTACCTTCACATATGTCACAGTAAGGTCTTTCCTCATTTCTGTTTCCATGGTGCTGGGTTCCCAGGTTGTCCGGTGCATCTGAAGACTGCAGTGGGCAGTCATCAGTATCATGCTGATCGAAAACGTCACAAATATCGCAGAACAAGCGCTGTCTTATTCCCGGTCTCACTGGCTCATCATCGTCAGATCTACACAAAATCAAAGTCCAGACGTGAATAGCTTCCTCTAAGACTTCTTACCCCTAGGCTCCCTAGATCTGATACGTTATTCTCCCAACTAGTCACTATACATTTCCATGAAAATTCGTTTAGAGAAAATGGTTTTACATTCTCCAACTGATAAGTTTCTTATTCTGAACCCCTTCCTGTTGATTTTCTTTTACAGATATCGCACAGAAATTAAGTCAAAAGTAATACATACTTGGTTCTGATTATATATTTATTTTCTGACAGATGCAGTGGTTGAATAAACAGTCATTATAACTTACAAATTAAGGGTGCCATTTGTGTCTGGAACCTTTCCCATCATAAACAGCTCAATTTTCTTTTCCGCTTCTTCATTTTTCCTCTGAATGCATAAAAAAAATGGACAGAACTCCATTAACAACTTTACTCAAATATCATCACCTTTATGTAAATGTCTCTCTTTTCCTTTGATAAAAATCGACTCAAATTTGTTTTCAGAGCCTGTCATTAGGAAGCAAATCTTACCTGCAAATCCACAATCACGGAATTCAAGAAGTCAACCTGTAAGAAAGACACCAAGAAATTACTCTCAAATAGTAGAAGGGATTATAATTTTTTTCTGCTTCCATCACTGGACACGAAACTTATAAAAAACCTTTGACGGAGTGGAAAATCACCACATGGGTAAAGTAGTTAAGACCAGCCATGACTTACACCAATGTTCATTCTAAATAGATGGTTTGTTTTAATAAAAAAAATTCGTAAACCTCTCAATGTTACTTTAACGTTTTTGACCAGGGATTTGATTGATTTTCCACAAATTTTGGTTAAAAAAAAAAAAAAAAAAAAAAAAAAAAAAAGAATGGCCTCATAAATCTCTATTACATTCATTTTAGAATCACTGGTAGTCCCTTCAATCTGAGTGGCTCTCATTGGTGTGATTTATTCACGAATCGCACCATTTTTCACTCTAAATCGCATCTCTTTTCCAGCCAATGACAAAGCTTTAATAAAACACAACAACCAATAACATTTCAAAATGAATGTAATAAAGTGGTAATTAAACTTCGTGACATGCAACTTTGGTCTGAAATCATACTTGTGATTTCAAATCAAATTGGCGCCGCGCGCTCTCTCAATTTTCAAATCACGCGTATGTTCGCAGACCACATCGCATTCCACCCAGTGGAATTACCATTGTGAACTTCTTGAATCGTTTTAAGCAATAGGAACAGACACCTGAGTTATTTTTCTGTTGGTATCTTTTCCTCTGCTATTATACATAACCCGTCTAATCGAAAGCAGTAATAGATATAACTACATGTAAAACTTCATAAAGCTGTTGAAAATAAGCTATGGATTGTCAGTAGTCTGTTTTCGTTCGATATGGAGCGTGAACTTTAAGCGAGTGGAGACTGGAACGAGATTGAGTGTTCCTCGATCCAGCCTCTTTCTGTTCTAATATCCATTGAACACTTGATTTCCTTGTAGACTCGTGCTGAACGTTAGTTACCTGTGCCTCTGAGTTTCCTTTTTCTGTTTGCACTGCTTCTAACAAGTCCTCTGTTTCTCTAAGCTTGCTCATCACTGCCTCCATATCTGAAGCTAAACGAGAAAAAGTACATGTTTTGTTAAATGCATTAAAGTTTCAAGACTTGCAAACCAAAAGATTTCATGGTTTAACCAACGTCGAGTCAAGAAATTTCAAATGTAAAATAGGTATCACTCATTAAAAATGTTGTACTGTCAGGAGCACGTTTTTCTTTTAAAAGAATTCCCCTCTAAACTAATCCACTCACGAAATTATGACTTGATAATATTAAGGAAAATGAGAAATGTTCACTAAGGTTCTACTGAACTTCCATTACTCCTGTAAAGCGTAAACTGATGTGTCCCTCATGTGCTAAAGACTTTCACCTCTCCAATAGCATCAACCCACGAAAAATTCCCTCTTCAAAGAGAGAGAGAGAGAGTTTAAAAATGAATGTTACCATTCAATGTTTATCACTCACCGTTAACAGACTGAATGGACGTAGGAGCAGGATTACTGATACTCCTCTCTAGTCTACTCTTTAGCATTTCATTCTAGAAGGTAATGATACTTTTTTTTCAATTTAACCGCTACAAATGCTTAATTAAAATGCTGAAGTTACTTTCGATTCTTCACTTGAGTAGTAGTTGCATTTCTTACATTGTTAACTTAGCTTCACTTAACGTACAGTACTAACACGATTTACATGACTATCAATTTCCGTGACTTATCATCGCTTACAACACTAACAATAATTACACTACTTAGTAAAACAACTAAGATACAACTAGCACCTTGTTTGGTCAAAAACCTATCATTTATTGCACCAGTAAACCAAAGAAATTGTTTTTATGGTCTATTCAGTGGTTCCTGTGATTATTTTGGTTTTGGTTAAAGACCACTCAATCGAAAGGCGTTGAAACTCTCACCTCTTTCCTGTAACTATTGACTTCATCATCTCTTTTCTTTGCTAGTAATTCCGCATTTTGTAACTTAATCTCCAATTCTTCTCTTTCAGAATCTGCAGCAACTTTTGCATTAGTTTCCCTGTAACAAATTAGTAATAATAATCATCATCATTTACAAATATAAATAACCGCAAGAAAAGTCCATTACGTATAAGACTGACCCTTACAACTGCAAGAATTAATTCCGGTTTCCGTCGTGTGAAGCGTTTAGGAATGTTACTATCCGTCCTAGCCCCCACCCCCCTCGATCGAATGATAGTCCGTCAGATGTCCCCCCCCCCGACTCTGAGCATGTCGCCAAGTTTCCGTAACAGTTTGCAGAGTGAGGAGAGAGGCACAGAGAGTGTTAAACATCTTACTTGAAGAGCACAATGCAATAACCTCGACTAAAGAATCTTCCAAATGCATTACCACACTTTAGCTGGCCAAATAACCCAACACACACCATTCCGCTAATGAAAGTCATTTGTGATCTCAAGAATGTCCCCTTCTGATATCAGAAAGCATTATGTTCAGTGATAATTAATTCTTGTCAATCTCACAGAGGACCTGTTTCAGCAAAGATTTTATCACCTCTGTTAGGTCAACAAAACAAAACAAAAAGGACTGAGAAAATCCTGAGGACTAGATTTGCTTCAGTTTTTCTACATTAAGACAAGTTGCTATTTACTATGGGGTATGAAGTAGTGCTCACCGTTTTTTGACTTCTTCTAATTCAACACTCATGCCATCAATCTTATTACTTGCATCCATCATTGCTGCTTTAAGCTGTAGGAGGAGAAATCAAATTTAAAACTATCGAAAATTGAATAAAAAAATAAGAAAAACACAAAAGTGTGGCCAACCTTGTCTTTTTCCACAGTTACTTCTTCTTTATCCTTCTTGAGGGCATCAACACTTCCTTTAAGTGATTGGTTCTCCTGTGACAGGACAGTAATCTCCTTGGTAACTTGGTCTCTCTGTGTACGAGCTTCTTCCCTGAAAACGATTCCGAGGGCAGAAAATATTATATTAGGCCACCATGTCTCCTACAAATAACTAATTCTTTTTACAGTTGATGCAAAATTAGCACTGACCGATATTATTATTCGTGACTTCAGAGCCAGCTGCTACCCTGCTACTGCTACCCTACTTTGTTGGATAGTGCCTGGGGTATCCAGGAGCTTCATGGTGACCAGCCAACCCCCAAATAAAATACTGCTCCGTGGCAGGAAAATCCCGTGACCCAGCCATCAGGCACATGTCAACCCAAGCTGAATCAGTAGGTGGAAGATTGATAGGGAGGATTAGGGGGACACTTAGAAAAAACCCCTAAAATGCGCTAAAGACTAGTGAGGAGAGCACACCACCAAGCTGGCTGAAAGCTCAAAGATGCCAACCATAGTTAAATTCCAAACTTCCACTTGAGCTTGCACTTCTGACAATGACCACTGACCAGACATGCTCACTAAGTTCATGGCAGTTAACTTTGTTAAATTGTTATTTACCAAGCCAAAGACCATTATTCAGTACTTACACTTGATTCCTCAATTTCAAAATCACTTCTTCTGCATCTGAAGATGACGAACTGAGCAAATGCAACTGTTCTTCCTTGCTGTTTGCCAAAGACTTTGCATCTTCAACCTGTAAACAATGATGGATGCCTTTTAACTTAGAGCATGAGATCTGACTTAACCCTTTAACTCCCACAAGTGATTAAGATGTTACTTCTCCCAATAACATCAATGCATTATCCACCATAGAGGTAATGAGAATCCTCAAAACTTATCAGGTTGAAGTCATAACTTACTTATGAGGAAATGTTTAGCAGTTAGAAGGAGAATTAAATCTTGAAGGAGAATTAAATCTTGAAGGAGAATTAAATCTTGAAGGAGAATTAAATCTTTAAGGAGAATTAAATCTTGAAGGAGAATTAAATCTTGAAGGAGAATTAAATCTTGAAGGAGAATTAAATCTTGAAGGAGAATTAAATCTTGGTGATCAAAGAGTTAAAGTTTTGGATCAATATCAGTATCTGGACAACTGCCCACCTACCCCTCCCCTAACCCAACATTAACCCTAATTTGTTATCAATTGACTGTTGTTAGGTCAGGGGAGGGGTAGGTGGAGAGTTGCCCAGATACTGATATTGATCCAAAGTTTTCAATGAAAACAATACATACAGATATACTCAATAAGAAGGAATAGGAGCAGCTCTTTTTTCTTTGCTGTCAAGCTCCAACCATTGCTATTCCAATTTTAACAAAAAAAACAACAAACCCTTCAAGTATTTTTAACTATTTTAGCTGATTTGGGATGTTATCAGTACTTTGAACATAAAGACAGGAAACTGACTGTTGTGTTTAAATGCTGCCCCATGTTACAGCTGCCTACTGCACCATCGGCAGCAGCTTAAGAAAAAAGTTATTGCAAGCCCTAAATCTGCTTCATGTTTCCCTCGCTGCTTCCATGAATAAGCCCAGCAAAACATAAAACATGTTTACACTTTCTTTATTTGTACTTTCTTTGTACTGGATTTAATGTCATTTAATAGACTTACATCCTTCTGAAGGTTGTTACAATGAGTTTTCAATTCTTCCAGCTTTGTTTCCATGTCACATTTCTCCTTTTCACTGATGTCTTTTGCCTTACTAAGAGCTTCCACCTCTTCTTTTCTTGAGGAGTTTTCCTGTTGTTGGAAAGAACATTTGATTCATGACGCTTCACAAAAATCAATCATCTTATTCAACAAAATTTTTATTCACCAGAGAAGTTTCTGGGTACTATCACCAAAGAAATAACTTGTCAGGGAAGCCTGATGAAATGCTAGAGGAGGGGGGGATAACCTTACAAAGGAATGACATCCCATCTAGTTGCTTCAAGCCATGGAAACTAGGATAGGCTCTGTCTGGATGGACCACTTAGCTCAAGAACAGACTTCACCATTTTACTTTCACATAACTTGTTGCAAAAGATTGTCACAGTCACATACCTTGGAGACAGTGTCAAATGCTTGCACCAAGCTTTGATGCTCTTGTTGTAGTGCTGAGTACTTTTCAGTTAGTTCTTGTTGCTTTTTCTGTGCATCTTCTTGAGCGCCCATGACAAGACCCCTCTCAGCGTTCAAAGATTCCAGCTGCAGCTGTAATGCTGCAAGTTGATCTTGTGATGCCTTGTAATCAGTCTGAAGCTTATTGTATTGTTCCTGTATATTCAATTGACAATCAGCAGTCAGTGAGTTATAAAGAATATCATGACCTTACTAATCTTGCTTTGCTGATGATCTTGCAATAACCAAGACCCTTGTCACATGTGATTCAAGTAATGGTCCAGCTCACCAAAACTTTGTACCTCAGTTATTGGAGCATTCACAGCAAAACGTTGGTTGGCTAGTGCTCACCCTCTCACAGGGAACCCAAGCTTTTTATTTGTCCCACACATCTCACAATAGTTCAACTTAACCCTTCAACTCCCATGGGTGACCAAGACATAATTTCTCCTTACAATATCAATACAATATCAAGCAGACAGGTGATGAGAATAAAGAAAAATATCAACTAGGGGATTCTTAATTAATTCAATACCAAATTCTCCAAACTAAGAATTGTACCGCAGACAGTACGGAGAATTACTAGTGAGATCTTGGGAGAGAAAAAGTTGGTGTTTTAAAATGCAAATTTTACTTTCATTTCAAAAATAAAATAGAAAGTTAGGGAAATTGACAGTTCAGCATTTAATATGCCTAGATTGAGCTGAGCAAGATGCTGTATGAACAGATATTTGCGACATCCAAATTGGTTTACCTTTACTCCAGACAATTCTGTGTTCTCCTTTAGAGTCTCCTGCTGTAAAGTTTTCAACTTGTTCAGCTCTTGAGTAAGTGAGGTTATCTCTTTGATTTTTTGTTTCATTTGCTCCTCCACAGCTGAATACTCAGTATCCTTGGCTTGCATAAGATCCTGAAACACAATGAAACAAGGAACTTAGACTCAGATAATGTCAAAACTGCAGCTTAAGAAAACACAAGGCACTAAAACAACTCCATGGATCTATTAAAAATAAACACCTACCTGCAATTTGGCCTGATGTGCATTTTGCATATCTTCGGTATTTTTTAAGTTTTGCTCAAGCTCAGATTTCTATGAGGAGATGGAAACAATTTGTGAATTCTGATGTGCAAATGTACTAATTAAATATTCAACTCATCTGAAGAGGATATAATCTGGTTTTCCTGACCAGCAATGATAATGCTAAAGAAAATTAACTATCACAACTTCACCATAACTTACCAGGTTTTGTACCATTTTATTTGTAGCTAAGGTCTGATCTTGGTGGGATTTCTTTATCTCCAGCACATTTTTATCATGTTGCTCCTGATAGAAGATAAATTAAATTCAAAGACAAAAAATTAACCTTGAGTTCCTACTTTACCTACTTTTTCATAATATACTCATTTATCTCAGCACAGCATCTGATCTAAGTTTTTTTACACAAACTATAAATGGGCAGATGTCAGAGCTGGCTAAGCCAGCTGATATTTCTCATTTGAACTGAGAACCATACTTACCCTGCCGAATGAAACAGCCCAGTTGCCTAAATCACATGAAAATAACCTGTATTCCCCCCCTAGTTAAACAGTTGAATGTATTCACTGACTTTTAGAGAACACCAGGGCCTGTTTTACTCTTCTAAACCCACTACTGTTCAAAGGTGAGTTAAATATAAATGACACTTATGCACTTTCAAGGTAGAACTCATTATTTCAGTAGTAGGCTGCACTCTCTACTGGTTTATTAGCATAATGACCAATGTGGAATGTTGAGAGAACACAAAACTTTTCAAGTGTTCTCCCAACATTCCAATCGCCCATTACGATGGTAAATCAATAGAAAATGCAGTCTATTCCTTTTGTAAAATAACTATTAGTTTACCAGTGCAATGAATGAAAGGTTTTTGACCAATCAGTGAGGTTGTAGTATTTAAGTTATTTTATTACACACCATAACTGACCAATCAGGGAGGTTTTAGTATCTCAGTTATTTAACAAAACATAAAAACTGGCCAATCAGGGGGCTTATAGTATCCCAGTTATTGTATGAAACAGCATAACTAGGCCCACCTTTGCCTGTGCAAGATCTTCTGTCAGCCTGCCAATCTGGACTTGAGCTTCAGCTGAGGAAGATTTAAATTTATCCAAAGTCCTACAGAGAAAACATTCTGATCTAAACCACTTCACCACAAAAAAAATTATGTATATTTTTCATATGCAGTTTGTTCAAAAATTCATTCCAAAAGAAAATAAGAACTGATTTCCAAGATGGATACATGCAAGGGTAAGGAAGATTGATGACAAGTGAATCAAAATTACAACAGATATTCCAGTGAACATCACTCAGAAAAACTAGAGATTACAAACCAGAAAAATTGTTAAAAGTATTAAGTATGTGCCCAGCACTGGTAAAACTAACATTTATAACTTCCATGTTTCTGATGTAGCCAAGCAAGTACAGAGACAGGCCAAAAGAATTCATCCAAGTATGCAATAGCAAATGAAAGTGCACTAGAAATTCTGATGTGGTGCTAAAAAGGCTGACATATTTTGACTGAATGTTTGACCAAACGACAAACACAAACAGACAGAAGGACTGACATACAGAGAGTCTGACGGATTGATGCTTAAAAGGGGTCAGTTTCCAAAGAAATAACAGGGGTGGCCGTGAAGCAATTTCTTCATATTCCTATGTTATCCAAATATTGCCAATTAGAAAGGTAAACCAAATACAAAAAATGATATTATAGTGGAAACTGTTTGATTTAACTCCACATATAAGGAGAATTAGTTTTGCAATCTTAAAAGTGAAAGGGTTAAATAAATGACGATAAATTAACAGAATAACTGATTCAGTGATTGTTTTAAGTGCATTTGAAAGACTGCATTTATCATTCTTTTCCACCAAATGCTTTCTGAACAAACTTATAACTAACAAAAACTGGCCTTGAGCTGACTTGGATAAACATGTCTCAGTATATGCAGTGCATTTGTGATCTGATGTAATAATTTTCTACAGAAATAAGCAGATACATTTCTGTTGAAAAGAGAAGTTTTACTTTGCTTCATATTGAAAAACTATAAAGTTTTTGAAAAGGAAATAGGACAAACATAGCAGACAGGTACTGCATACCACAATGACATCACAAAACTGAAATACACCAAACAAAACAACTTGGCACTGCAGGTAATCTTAAACTTTTGGACAAAATGGGATGGAAACTAGACTCTTGGCAAGCTGTGAAGAGCAAATTCTTCACAAGCCTTAGGTAAGAGATCCAGTCTGGTTTGCAAGCCGACATGTTACCTGTCCTTTTCTCTGAGTTGTTCATTGAGGTAAACCAGCTTTTGTGAACTATCACCGGAATTCTTTGCCAATTCAGCAATTTGGGACTCCTGTAGGAGAATTTGAAATGAAACACTCAGGTGATATTTAATTTTGCTAATTAACTGTTTGAAAATAGTTCTGGCTTTTCATATTACTCCTTCAGAAGTGTCATTTCAACAGAAAAAAAATGTTTAATCGCAAGCAGAAAACAACAAAGATTGCACGACAAACAAAATATTTTCTTTCTCCATCTGAGTGGGTTGTAGCTCTCAGCATTTGAATCTGAAGGGACACAGAAACCTACATAATTTAAAGAACAGAGTTCTTTAAAAGCACAAGAAAGAACTGAATTTGAATTCCTACTAAACCAAAGTGGTTTGCTTACTGTGGTGAGACCACACAAAGGTCTACAAACCACACCTAGTTCCTAGATTTTCTGGGTGAAAAGTGGGCCATTATGAAGTGATCATAAATTATGCATTACAAGGTTGACAAAGCCATAAAGTGACTTATTGTTGCTACATTAGAACTTCAGAAGGTGCAGAATTAGAAAACACAAATATAGTGTAACATTGTTATAAAATGCTGGGCACTTCATTAAAAGACAAATTAAAAGACTTATTAAAAATTTGATGCAATGAATTTAAGAATACCACTTTTTAACCATTTAACTTCCAGAAGTGATTAACATGCAAGTTCTCCCTATAATATCCAAACATTATCTAACAAACTGGTAAATGTTATTTTTATCCATAACCAAATTCTCATAACTAATTTAAAAGGAGATTTTGTAGCAGCTGGAGGGGAGAATTAACAATCAGATCTTGGATTCAAAGGATTGAATTTACAAAAGAACCCAGCCATCAGCAGAAGGATATCAGGTATTGTAAACTTAATTAATATGGCCACTTCTGAATCAAGAAAGGCTGTGGACAAAATGGAAAGATTTTGATGACTCGATAACTTCCATAACAATAGACTGGCCATTTGTTTTCAAACACTTACAAGACCTGAATATTGTACATATAAAATCAGGCTGAACTCTCTTAATACAAAACTCCTGTGTGTAAGCCCTTTTCATCAGCCCAGAAATGATCAACATGTACCTTCTCTCAATAATACCCATACACTATCCAGCAAACAGGTAATGAGAATATTTAGACTAACTGACACCAGACTCTTGTAACTGATTAACAAGGAAATGTGTAGCAGCTAAAGGAAGAATCAATGATCAGATATTGGAGTAAACCAAATACAAGGGAACCAATGGTGATAAAAGGGTTCTCCACAAAATAGGAAGAACAAGGACAAAAACGTGGGGAACTCAAAAAGGTATTGAGTGCCTTTTCATGTGGCACAGATTAATTCCATGATAAAAAAGTATAAACTTTAATAACAGAAATAATACTTTGGAGAAACCTTAACCCTCTAACTCCCAGAAGTGATTAACAAGTAATTCGTCCCTATAATACTCATGCACTGTACAGCAAACAGGCCAATGGTAATGAGGTAATGAGAATACTCAAATGTATCAGGTAAAAGTTGTCATCTGGATCTAACACCAAGTTCTTGTAACTTATTTACAAGGAAATGATTAGCAGCTGGAGAGGAGAATCAACAATCAGATCTTGGGAGTTAAAGGGTTAATCCATATCAAATGAACAGAATATTGCAGGGGTTCTTTGGTGACATGATAACGATGGCACCTCATCCCAGAGCATTATGAGAGAAAGCAGAAAGCTGTGAGTTACAAAAACAGCCTTGAAAAGAAGTTAAAGTAATAGAAAGTAATTTGACAGGAACCTAAAGATATTCTAACATAACACTCTAAAACATTTCCCTCAAGCACCCAAGCCATATTACATTGCAGTGGTATTACCATCAATACTACATGTAGAATCAAAAGAGAATGCATTCAAATGTATACTAACCAATTTAGCTTTGTCTGCAGCAAGATTCTCTGATCTGACTTCACTTAAATGAAGCTGTTTTTGAAGTTCTTTACAGCCATGAAGAAGAAGACAAATAAACATTATTTGCATGGTTCATTCCACACCCCAACATTGGCAGCTGCTTATGAAAAAAGCTATTGAAATCCCTGTAATACCATGCTCAACTCCCTCTGGCACCTCTCACATTGGTTGAAATTTACTTCAAATATTTCTTGAGTATTCACAGTGTCCTAAATTTACCCAGTGGTGTTATGTACACCAACACAACATTTTCCACCTTTTTCTATTTTCTGCTCTAGATAAAAATATCTAAATTTATCATTATTTACCAAGTGTTGTGTCCTTGATCACTTGAAGCTCACTGCATAGGGAAGAAAATTCATCTTCCTTGTGGTGGAGCTTTTCTGTAAGATCTACAATTTGATTCAAAGATGTGAGAAAATGCTGACCTGAGACCTTGGAAATAAATGAAGATTTCACATTTACCTACACTGGATGGGTTTGCCCTTTTCCAATGCACCTATCACTTCCCATACATATGTTGGGAAACATACTTCACTTTTGATATTTAATAAAAAAAAAATAAAAAAAATAAAAAAAGAAGCACTTCTTACCGTTGATCTCTTTTTGCAAAGTTTCATTCTCTTCCTTTGACCTCACAAGTTCTGATTTCTGCAACAAAAATAATGTTGTCAAAACAAACTGATATATGTCTTCTTGTTCATCCACAGAAAGAAATTGGCCAGCATTTACTTAACAAGCTGTCAGAGGAGTATTTTTCACAGCTTCCACTTTTGGTGCTCAAGAACACTGTTTACTCAGAAGGCTAAACTACACAAAGATGATTTCTGTTTAAAGAATTATTTAGGTAAATTTATGCACAAATCTAACCACACTGTTTTTAAAACATATTACACTATACTGAGCATATGATAATTTATAAGATGAAACAAAAGCTACACCTACCAGGATTTTAATCTCACTATCAAGACCTGTCTTGATCTTAGCATGTTCCTCTATATCCTTTGCCAAAGCACTGATCCTTTCAGAATTCTCTCTGAGCTGCTGTTCTCTTATGCTGGCATCACCGGAATGCTCCTCTTGCTTTGCAAACAGTGTTGCCTCCAGTTCTCTGATCTTGCTATCAGAATCACTGACTGATGTCCGCAAATTTGAAACTAAAGTATTTGATTCAGACAAAGCACTCTCTAATTCTGTAATTTTTGATAATGCTGTGCTTTTTTCAGTCTGGAAAAAAAATGTGGAAACTGATCATCAACAAATGCATGCAAGTGTATCATAGGCCACTTAACCATATTCAACATGGAGCCATTTTCAATTGAGTGTCTAAAGCAGTTCAGGATTGCATTGGTCTTCCTTTACTGCTCTCAGTGATTGGTCCAAAAATCTTGCACCACTATATCAATCAATCAGATACAAAACTAAAACCAGTCATAACTTTGTTACCTGCATTTTCCAGTTTTTACTTGTTTTTACTTTGAGCTCTCAATGGCTACTCTGTGTATTTTCCTGTCCTTTGATAGGCTGATGCAATTACTCTGGGTTTGGTTTTTATGACACTCAATAGAAGATTGCTCTGAACATAACTCCAACATTATTTCAACATAAGTTCACTACTGTGAAAGAATAAACCATACCTGTGTTGTTTCAAGCTCTTCCTTTAGTCTGGAAAGTGAGGTAACCTTTTCTTTTAGTTCAATCTCAAGTGTTTCAATTTCTTTCTGCTCAATCTGACAACCAGAAAAATTCAATATATGATTTTACAAAACTCTGCATAAGATAATATCATTCATGATACAATCAGTCCTGATAAAACTAAAAGACATAATTGTTTTAAGGCAGGTAACTTGGAGGGCACTACTTTCATGGAAGCTTTTAAGACCTAGTAAGCACTACAAATTTCTGAGACAACAGCTCTCAGACTTTCTCTTTTTCAGGCCTGGTGATTCTTTGTCAGAGCAAAGCTTTGCTAACATACATGACAAGTAGATCAGAACCTCAGATGTTCTATGATTGTGACTATTGGTAATCACCTTTCTAAAACTTCAAGGGAAAGGCAAAAAAAGGATCCTGAAAATTTCTCAGCAAATACCATGTTTAAATCACAAAGAAGGTGATATACCTTAAGTTCATCTCCAAGAGTAATCTCCTCCTCCTCTAGTTTAAATTGTAAATCTTCCACCTTCCTGTATAAACATGAATAACAGTAAATAACTTAATTTCAGCCAATGATCCTATAGAAATTAGTGATGAGCTTTCCAGGTCAACCTTTTTAACTCACAGTAGTGGTTAACATGCAACTTCTCCACACATTATCCAGCAAACAGGTAATGAGAATACTCAACTTATCAGGTAGAAGTTGTTATCTTGATCAGACACTGATTCTCATAACTAAATTACAAGGAAATGTGTAGCAATTTGATGGGAGAATTAACAATCAGACCTCTGACATTGAAGGGTTAATTGATCAAACAGTATCCAGTCAAGTCGCTGATGGTTCAACTCGCCAATGCCAAGCGTTTAGAAAATGTTTTTTGTTCACCAGCATAGCCTGGTATTAAGATGGACTAAATGTAGACACCTTCAAAAGTGAGCTACCTAAGTGTGAATCTAGAATGACACTGGTTGTGACACAATAACTTGTTCACGTCCAAAGCTTTTTCGTTCAAAGCTTTTTTTTTTTTGTTCACTGTACTTTATTCAGCTTGAGATCCTTATAAGCTTTGTTGGAAATAAAAAGAATTTTTTTTTTTACTAAAGATCTTGTCTAGAAAGCCAATTTTTTTTAAATCTGACAGATTATGATGAGTCTTTAAAGAGTTGTTGTCACACAATAACTAGATCGTTCGTGTCTAAAGCTTTTTTGGTCATTGGCGATGTTCACCTTGCTTTATTTGCCTTGAGATCCTAATAAACTTTGTTGGAAATAAAAAGAATTGTTTTTTACTAAATATCTTGTCTAGAAAGCCAAGTTTTCTTAAAAAATCTGACCAATTGACAAGATGAGTCTTTACAGTGTTGTTGTCAAACAATAACTTGTTCATGTCTGAATCTTTTATAGTCATTGGCAATGTTTACCTTGCTTTATTCACCATTAGATCCTTATAAACTTTGTTGTTTTTTTACTAAAGATCTTTTACTTTTCTATATGTTTAACTTCTCATGAGTTGTACTGGATTGAAGACCAACTTGCCAACATCTCTACTCGATTTTATATGTCAGCGAGTTGGTATTGGCAAGTTAAACCATCAGTGACTTGACCATAATTCGATCAAACACAGTTGAACTCCTGAATTCGACTTTTACCTTTTCTCTTCTTCCAGCTGTGACTGGAGGTCATCTTTTTCTTTATTTGATGTTTCAAGCAAGCTCTGAAGTTCACTGATGCTCTTTTCTTTCTCAAGAATAGCCTGTATACATGCAAGTCAAACATGTTTTAATGTTCTTTAAGATCACTAAACAAAATACCTTGATAATACCATTCAAGTCACTTGACTTGAAATTTCTGCCAGCAGCCTAATTTCTAAGCAACAACCCTGCTATATACAAGCATTCACCATGTACTGTACAATACCTCATTGTGTTTTTCCTTTAGTTTGCCAACTTCTTCCTCAACCTGCAATTAATCAAAGCATTAGCTTAGAGTTGAAATTTTCAAGGAATACGATTAAATTTCTCCCATTTCACATTCAAGAGCTTGAATCATGAAATTTAAGTTAACTAAGTCTGTCAACATGAAGTGTGCAGTTAATAAAGAAATGATGTTAATAAAATGAACAATCATTTCAGGGGAAAAGGGGTTAAAATCTTTTAAAAAATTCAACAAAGTTTGCACAGAATTGCATTAATAGCACCACACCAAAACCAGCAATTTAAGGAATATTGAAAAGAATTTTGCTCACAAAGAACAGTTGCTGAAATTATACCATAATCAATAAAAAGCTTTGAAATTTTTGTAAAGAGACGTTAAAACAGAAGAGCCTTGCACAGTTGTCAAGTCCTGAAAACAAGACCAGAGACCTCTCAAACAGGACACACAAGACAAGAAAGAACACTGTTAATTGAGATACAACTGAGAAATTACCACCACTGCACAATACCTTAGTAACTTGACTTGTAGCATTAGCAACTTCTGCTCGTTCAAACTCTCTATCTGCCAGAAGGGACTGGATTTGCTTCTCTCTATCCTCCAGTGCTTCCTATTAGTTAGTTAAATCCAATTTCAGGTCACAAATTTACTCACTTTGTTTCACACTGTCACTTAATTCTTTTCACCCCTATATCAGTCTACATATTCTCCATACTGTTCACCATACATTTCCTAATAAACTGACAAGGAGAATTTGTTTAACAATCAAGAGCTTAGTTGATGATCATTTCCTTTATTCTCACGACCTTAATGTTTGATTCAGTGGTGATCTTGTGAGGAGAAATTAAATGCTGGTCACTTTTAGGGGTCAAAAGGTTTATAAACAATCATTTAGTCCAGGAAGCATTAGCATGAAAAAAAAAATTGATATTTAGTGGATTTTTTTCCACTTTTGATTAATACCCATTTGTTAAAAAAATTCATTTTAGCCATTATAAATTGCCCATAATTTTTTCAGCAAGATACATCAACAATTTGAAGGATTTTTTATATTTCATTTACATTTCTAAATTCAGTGATACTGTTTCAAAAGAACAGTATTGTGCATTTATCATTTATATATTACAGCCATTAATAAATGACCAGTAAGTACTAAATTAATAAATTTTAATTTCAACATGAGTGTTTGTGTTGGCCCTCTAGTAAGTAAATTTATGTATTTTTACCAAATATGAATGCTAACCCTTTCACTTGCTATGATCTCATTAGTAATTCTCTTTATTGTCTGCAATAATATTCTTATAGGACTAGTTGGGAGAATTTGGCATTAGATTGACTAATAATCCCCTCTTTGATATCTATTCTCATAACTTCTCTGCTCAATATTGTATTGGTATTGTACAGAGAAATTCTGTCTTGATCACCCATAGGAGTTGAACACACATGATCATCAGTGAGAGTAAATCTTTTCTGCACAAGCTTAGTTAAGCTTTAACCATTAAAATTTAGATTTTAACAGCCCAATGTTTGACTGGTCACCAAGAACATGTTCTTACCACACAGTTTATTATTACATTTATTATTAACAATAGGTAAAATTTTCTATTAAGTTTATTTACCTTTTTAGAGTTTCTCTTACCTCCTTTTTTTTAACAATATAACCTGAAATATCTCTCATTACGGTAGATGTCTGAAAAACAACATGCTGTTAAGTTTTTATCCCATTTATAAGAATTAAAAAGTCTTAAGTTCATCAAAGTTAACTCAGGTATTCTAACATTTAAAAGTGACACTTTTCTTTGTGTGCAAAATATTTTAGGTTAGGCTGTACAAACCATTACACAGACTTAGTAAAAAACAGTTCTTAGGAGCTTGCTTGGGTAATTCAAAGCAAATATGTGCTGATTTCATTTCAGAAAATCAGAAAAGTAATTAAAAGCACTTGTTGTTTTGTACACAAATGGTGCACCCATTGTTCACTAGCATGTGTTTTTTTCCTAAGGTGAAGTGCATTAATTTTATACTTAGCAATACTTTATGTTAATAATGGTCTCACAGTCTGGCCACTGCAACTGCAGATAGTGGTAGTTCCCAACACTGCTAGTCTCCATCAGTTACCAAGTGTTACTGGTTATTTGTCAATTGATAAAGGAATGTTTCATTTTAATAAGACTACCTCTAACAACTGTGATGGGCACAATTTGATCCTTGATTGAGAAAATCTCTTTAGAGCCAAAAACAGATTAAAATTGTTGTGGTTTATGTTTTCATCAGTTTGTTGTTATCTATTTATACTTAAAGGTGAAGAGCAGTCCTCTAAGAACCAAGCCCTCTTTGTTCCCAGTCCACAGCACTAAACATTAAACCACTGTATCTCCCAGTTATCAAACAAGCAAATTGAGCAAATAAGAAAGTTAATAACCTGCAAAGCCACCAATTGTGATGTCACCACACCAGATGATGCAGGAGACTGGGTGAGCCCTGATGGGGGTGGTGATGATTTAACTTCAGACACCTCTGGTTCAGGGCTTGAGATAATCTGTTGCAAACAAAATATAAACAATATCATAATTTGTTGATTGCAAAAAGGTAGCCAGAATGGTTAAATATTGCTTTTAGATTTTGTTTCCAGGTGAATAAAAGGGCAAAGTTTCTGAAGAAACTCTTATGGTGGTGCATCTGTTCAGGAAATTACAAGATAATTTGGTATTATGAACTGATCTTATGATGTAAATTGGCTCTTGTAAAGAGTCAGTTCTAAAGCTGACATTTCAAGCATTAGTCCTTTGTCAGAGGGAAACATCAGCATTAGAAACTCTCAAGGGTGGCCAATCTACATTATCAATCTAATTGATAAAACCAAATTATCTTTTATTTCCAGATGGTTTTTTTTATGTTCATCATTTGTTCCCTTCTCTTTTCTTGTCCTTTCTCTTATGTAACAACTTAACAATTCACATCAAAATGAATTATTGCCTTTAGTGTCAGTAAAACTCAATTATTACCTGTGAGGTACTTAATGTAGATGGCTTAGGGGTAGAGGAGGATTCACTGAGGGTTGAAGAAACTGAATTAATAGAACTGTTACTTCCAAGTGCACCCAAGGAGTTCTGTACATCATTTCCTTGAGGTGGTTGCGGTTGAAGTCTTGGTGGTAGAGGTAAACTTGAAATAGCAACTTTATGTAGTGGAGCAAACAGTCCAAAGTTAGGCTCACACTGGAAATATCTAGAAGGAAACAGAAGAGCAGTTAGCCACAAGTACAACAAATCATTTGTGCATAAAATGGAACATCAGTGTCAGACTTAAATGGAAACAAAAGTTTGAAGATTAAATCCCTGAGAGTGACAAGGTTCTAATTTCTCTTTACAATCTATACCTCCAATCAAATGTTTAAGTCAAGAGAATAATTATAGGAAATGCTCAGCAACTAATGAAGCTCTAAATGGTTTCACAAATGCTCCTTGTTAGAACCTAGGAAAAGTATAGAGAACAGTATGGACAATATGCATGATGACGTTAGGCTGTAAAGGGTTAATTCTCTGACACAGAAAAGTATCAGCTGTAAACAAACAGCCATTAAATTCTCCATGCATTTTTATCTGAGTTAATAAAGCACACTACATCATTCAAGACAAGTTCTGAAAAATCCATAATTCAGGAACGATATTTGTTCAAGAGTGAGAAGATGTGAAACTAGTAAAAGCTGTCACTCTCTCCTTTAAAAGAGTTCAAAGATCAGAATCTTGTCATTGAAAAGGCCCTTGTTCCATAAAAATGTGCTTACTATCCATGACAGAGATACAGCCTTTTGGCAACCTCTGTATCTTCTTTGTAACTTAACCCTTTACACCATAACATAGTATGCATATTCTCTTTACTCTTGTTTATACATTTCCTTGGTACTGATAAGGAGAATTTATTTAACAATCAAGAACTTTCTTGAATAAGCAATCAGCTTCTATGCTCTCATGATCTCGGTGTTTGATTCAGATGTGATACTGTAGAAAGAAATTACTAAATTTCTAGTCACTCTTAGGTTCAGACATAACATTTTTTTCTCTTTTCTTTTTTTTTTTTTAATTATTCTAGAATCACCAATGATCAAAACAAAATAAAATAAAAACTTAAACTGTAAAACTGATGGGTTGAATTTGATAAATTAAAAATAAATGGCTTTTTGTATTTGGATTTTTTTAACTGGAAGAGAACATTGCATGAAAGTAATCAAAGGATGGATATAAAGAAAGAAAAAAAAGATGATTGAGTGAAATCTCAATATCAAAAGGGGTTCCTATACTCATTTACTTTTAAATTATGTATTCATTCACTGACAAGATGTCACCTAAACTTATTTACTGCATTAAGTTTGATGCACTATAAAGAAATGCCAGATAACCCAAGAAATCAGCAACATTCCAGATTAAAACTATTCAAATGATAAAGAGGAAAGGGACCTCCTTCCTTTATTTCAAAATTTATACTTCTATTACATAACCACAAAAGCCACAGTTTGACAAACATCTGAGTGCAGGTTCTATATCAGATTAATGTTCTTGATGTTTTAACAAAGACAACTTCCTCCAAAATTACCACTATATAAGAAAATTAGCTGATGAAATATTCACAGCCCAATTTTATTTTTTGTGTCATGATATCTAATCTATGCTGCAGGTAGTCTGACTGTGCTGCATGTTACCATTTGCAGCACCATATTGTAAGAAAAAAACCACCATTTTTTTGTTTTGTTTTTTTTTTCCCACTGATTCTGGCACACTTAAAGGCTGTATCTGTGCCTTTTAAAAAATAACACTGAAATGACCTTAGTAATTCCCTTCATCAACATTTTCCACATGTCAGTGATAAATATAATTATGGGAGATCCAAATGTGCTTATAATTTACCAAAAGATTTCGAAAAATGTTCTCCTGGTGCTCTGCCAAATTTTCAGACAACATGCTATACCGTACTCTATACCTTATGTGTCGCACATATAGACGAAAATAAAATTTCTAAATGTCTTTCTACTAATCATGAATTAGTTTATAAATGGGCAATTATAAACAACTAGCTTCTAGTAAAAATGATGCGCTTAGAAACAATTATAATTTTAAATTCAAACTCAATCCAATGCCTGAGGGAATGTTTCAAAAATTAAGTATTCAACCGGTAATATAAAAGCCATCATTCCAAAATGATAAAGTCACCGCGTTCCACATATAACTATGATAAATTTTTGCTCACGAAAGTGAAATGCCAAACGTAACTGTAATTTCAGCCGACGTGGCATCAGTAACAAACACGTGATGTATTGAACTAATGATGCATCGTTCGAAAACCAAGAAGTTTCCAAGAGGCATCATTTAAATCTAAAATTAACCACAATTGTATTAAACATTTATTGTGCTATAGAATTCAATATCAACATCTATACAAAATTCTGCGAGTTTAAAACTATCCGTCTCTAGTCATCTGTAGAAAAGACACACCTGTTTAGTTTTGATTTCCAAACATTAAACAGAACACATTTTACCTTGTTCCAGCGACAGCACCATCGTTTTTCCCCAGTGGCTCGTCTAGTTCAATACCAGCCCATTCTCCCTTAGCAAATCCAGTTTCTCCAAGATACCGAACTACACCATGTTTCGAACCGCTTACAACGACACGGTCGCCAATTTCTAAGTTAGCTTTCTTTTTCTCAACTTTAACATCACTCGATGAAGTTCTCCTACCGTCGATTTGGTTAATTTTAGTGAGTTTCTCAAGCTTTGTAAATATCCCATGACCCGCATCGCATTCAAAATAACGCACCCCTTGAACACTTCCATTATTTTTGCCGACGCACTCGTCAAGAACTACTCCAGCCCAATCACCCTTGGCAAATTTTGTCTGTCCAATAAAAGCTATAGAGCCAGGATTCGAGTTTCCTACTAACACCCGATCTCCTAGTTTGAACAAGCTGAGTAGATTTGAATTCGACGGGTCAACAGGCGCAGTTTGACTTTGACTTTCCGAAGGCGCTCGAGAAATTTCGCCACGTCTTCTTATAGCGGGAGCACCATTAGCTCTAGATGAAGCTCCGCGTAAACTAGAACTAGAACTCTCTCTTCTGTACTGCAGTCTTGTTTGAGAATTCTCTCTTGAAGGAAGTCTCGGTTGAGCAACTTCTGCTCCAGTTAGAGATCCCCGTGGACTCACCAAGCGCTCACGGCTTGCGCTCAATTTGCCATTGTCGCTGGTTGGCATTCCTCGTCGAGTTACTCCACTTGAAGTCTGGCCAAGTTTAGCCCCCGTAGGACTAGTTCTTGGTTGTACTGTAGACGATCCTGCCTGAGAAGAATTAGAAACAGATCCACGTGGTTTTACTGAAGGAGCTGAAGGTTGAGATCCGGCACCTACACCGCCACCTTGAACCGGTTTAACAATTCTACTTGGGGTTTTAAGACGCGACAGTCCTGACGGAATCTGGCTCATTTTGAAGCGGGATTAATATGCTTTCTATTCTGTATTCTTCTGAGTCAGAAATAGTGAGATTTTCGGTCTTACATGGCCAAAAATAGCGAAATTTCAACCAATATATATAAATAGTTCTAGATGGTACTACGACAGGTTATATTCTTGTTCCTAAGGCCCTCTCGGATGTTTTAAATGGGAAAGACCTGGTGCGAGTACCATGATCATAGTTGTATTTGAAATAATACTTATTTGAATCACTTTAATTGAAACTTGTACAACGAATCAAATCGTCTTGTCGTTGCAACTTGAAACAAGTTAAAAAACCAGTTTATTAAAAGCAATGCAACTTCGAATCACCAGTTCTTCTCATGAGCAACCCATCAATTTACCTTAAGAGTCATGAGACTCTTAGATGCGATGTTTCGTTGTTTCCTCATCCTTAATTTTTCCATCCTACCCAAGGTAAAATTTCATTCCCTCAGATACCCGGACCCACAAACAATTGCGTCTCCTCAAGTTGCTTCAGAGAGACGGAAATAAAGTAGGGCAGTAGTCAGTGAGGCGGGCACTCCGGTCAGACTGGAAGTTTCATCTCATCGGAAGTTCGCCTTCAACCACCCATGTAATTCTCTCCATAACGTAAAATGAGTTCACCTCCATTTTTACAAGTTCGTCCCCAAATCATCGAAAGTTAGTAACTTGTTTTATTTTAGGCGGCGAACTCGTGAAGGTGGTAGGGGCCTGTGGGCGAACTTGTGATGGGGCGAAACCACCATAAACTATAAGCGTCTAACCCTATAGCTATCTTTGGATCCGTCTTTTCACACAAATACGTACATGAAACATCCGGTGTGCCTCCAGACTATAGCACTGAGTATTAATGCAGAAAAGATAGAAATATTAAATTAATTCATAACTGAGCATAGCAAATGAACCACATCCTGACGGATATTCAGGATGATGATTGGCCCTAATAAGAGACGACATACTGAACGAGAGAAATGTACCACTTCCCCTCCAACCCCGCATAGAACACTAAAATAAAAAAAAACAGGCTACGATAAACAGCTTGTACAAGTATGGATTTCTCTATATAGAGAAGGTATCGTTATGTAGAAAAGTGAAACCAACGACCTAAAAAAAAGTTAAGAACTGAGAATTTTACCGTTTCAATTCAAAGCAAGATGATCACGAAATTTTGACAGCCGGAGAATAAATGTGCTAAGTCAGTCACTATTTTAATATCACTTCTGTTGTATTGATGACCAGTTCAGCCGAGTGTTATATATACGCAAGTGCAATTCGCATTCCGAAGTTCCCGGCCGAAGTTCCTTGTCTCATCGTAATGGTGTTTATACCATGCTCTCACGGTGGTAGCTTGCATGCATATAGGACCACACCCAACGCACTAAGCTGAGGGTCGTCTTTCACCCGGGCAGGTCCGACCATGTCACTTCTAACCATGCTGGACGGTAATTGATCAAGTCGCCAGAAAATCATCTCACCCGAAGTTGTGTGTTTTACAGGTGATAAAAAAGTTGGATGACTTAATTCTGGTTTTGAGCGATCAGAGCACCAAGAGCATGAAGTTTACGGCAAGAACTTAGCGGTTAAAATAGAACTTCTTGTCGTCTGATTTCCGCAGTTCCAATACCAAAGTGAAGGTATTTGCATTATCTGCAAAAACGAGTGTTTGTTTTGCCATTTGCTATAGTATCAATATATAGCTCATACGAAATTTAAGTAAAATCGAAGTTCATCTTCGCTGTTTCCCATTGCCATAAACGTCGGGCGCAAAGAAGTTCAAGTCTCTATTGAAGGGAAAGGACAAATGAGCATTAGGACTTGTCGTCACATAGAGGATTTGACTGATCATGACGATATGTTCCTGCTGTTAACCAGTCATGTATTTTCACAAACAAGGGTTTCGATAACGTTTTCCATAAGCAGCTGCCGATGGTGAGATGGGGGGAGGGGGTGCTGTGCCCGAAGAAGGGCTCGTAAGGGAAAACTAAAAGACGAGAGCCTGCTCGCAAGCCAAACAGACGCCAGCAAGGGGTCTTACAAACCTCGTTTTCCCAGTCTGAACAGCTTGTTACGAGCCTCGTTTTTTCCGAAGTTCTGAAAGATTTCAATTAATACAAATTTTTTAAAGGGCCGTGCAGTGGGATACGGCCCATTGAATTGAACGATTATGGTGCACGTTTCAGTGCCGCGGAAATTGCAAGTACAGCCTGAAATTAGTAAAGGGGGTATTTTTCTAAAGAAACTGTGGTGCTACATCGGTGGGGAGTATAACGAGATAATTTGCTTTTATCAACTGGCCGACGTTCCGAGCGTTTACCCCTTTTCAGAGTGATGACGAAGTGCTAACGCCCGAAACGTCAGCTTTGGAACTCTTTATGGTACGGTGGCCAATTTACATTATCATCTTATTTGACTGAAACCAAATTATCGCAGTATAAAATTTGTTTGGTAAAATATTCATTCTCCTAATCTTTTCATCAGAATTGGGTCAAGTTGGCGAACTCAGATGTAGAAAGACTCTTTTCATTTGAACAGCTCGGCCCTGTGTTCAGGAAGCGGATACTCTATTCGAAAATTTGAGTATGGGTTTGCACTTTGTTTAGTATTAATGGCGATATTTTATGTTCACTAACAGTGACATGCGCACTTACTAGTTGGCTAGTACCAGCTGTAAACATAGGGGATACGCCAACCCACAATTCATAGCACTCCGTCGCTTCCGTACACGAATAGGCGTGTAAGAATTTGAGAGAGTGAAGTGATAAATTCGTATTGCCAATAATGGACGAAGAAAACTAAAGAGGTCATCCCCTTTAATTCCCAGATGAAAAAAAGACGCTTTTGAAAACAAAAATCATTACAAATCAAGTAAACTCGATACGAAAAAATTTTAAATAATTTCACAGAAATCGTTATCATAAAGAGACCAATGAAAGTGGTTAAAGATTGTAGCAGCTTCCCAAGGTGTAAATAAGATATTTTAGGATGGGGAGCATACTTCAAATGTAATCCAGTTTGACGATCTGTAGAAAAAGCGAATTGCAATTGGCATCCAGTCCATTCGTAGCGATAAGGCTGATCGCAACACAGAATTTAAGTCAGTTCTTCAGTCACCTGACTATTCAGGGTTACCGGTCACTTTGCCGACATGCCAACTCGCCGACACCATTGATCAGCTCGCCGACACCATTGGTCACCTCGCCGACACTACTTAGTCAGTTCCTCATGGAAAACAAGGTTAAATCGGGGCCTTTTATAACAAAGTTAACAGTTTCGAATGAAAACTAGCCGATACAAACACAACAATAAATACTTTAGACTACAAGAAATTTTTTAACCGACAAAACGTTGGTTAGGGTTAGCGAGCTGACGAGTTGGCCATTAGTGTCGGCGAGTTGCTTGCCAGTGAGTTTACATGTCGGCGAAGAGACCTTGTATCCTACTAAGAATATCTGCACTAGCTCTTTAACCATTCATGAAATTGAAGGATGTCTTTGCTTCTTTCTCCATAATCGTAGAGAAGTTCTTCTCCCACTTTGACGTCTCTGTTTGTTTCCAGTATTAGGTAAGGTCTGTCTTTGATTGACACCAGCCTTGTTACACAATTGGCTTCCGTTCTGCTGTGATTCAAAAGCCGACCCAGTCTGCCGCTTTCTTTCGTGGCATCAACACTAACCAATTGAAATAACGACAACAAAAAATTAAAAAATATCTACGCTGCTTTTTCCTGTGAATTGCATTAGGTTTCGTTTTCGTAAATAAAAACTCCTAAAGTAAAGGAAATACCGCTCTAAAGTTTTGCTAAGTGGGAGAGGAGTGGGGATCATTGTGTAATTTTACTCCAAAGTGTTGCTAAGTAGGAGAGGGGTAGAGAGTCCTTGATCTCCTCTATGTCAAAAAAGTGATAGGTCATTAAAACAAATCAACCAGGCATAACCAAATTAGTAGTACAACTCTAATGAAGGACCCTATGATAGAAAATTCTGCCAATGCTGCTGCTCAAAGGAACACACTGTTAGATGTTACAAAGTACTTTTTTACAGTGCTTACCAGTACTTTTTGTCCTTGAAGTTGAAATAATACATATAACATCCAAATTCTGTCTTTCCTTCATAGAATTTCTCTCGTTCCTTTGCAGTTTCATAATTAATAAGTTCACCAGCATATTCGCACACAAATTGTCCTCTTGTGAAGTCTATTTTGGCAAAAACACCTCTTCCTTTACCCTCTACTTCTTGTACCTGGTTTGAGAATCATGATAAACCTCTTAGTTTCTCTTGGCAATCAAAATGGGTACATAATTCAGCTTATCATAGATTCAATCGTTGTACATCAGATTCAACCCTTTAACCCCTAAGAGTGATTAGTAACTATTTTCTCCAATCAGTATCACCCCTAAAACAAACATGGAAGTCATGAGAATAAAGGAAATGATCACCAACTAAAGAAGCTCTTGATTGTTAACCCTTTAACTCCCAGAAGTGATTAACATAAAACTTCTCCCTACAATATCCATACATTCTTCAGCAAACAGCTAATGAGAATATTCAAACTTATCATGTAGAAGCTGCTATCTTGCTCTAGCACCAAGTTCTCATAACTAATTTACAAGGAAATGTGTAGCAGCTACAGGGGAGAATCAACAATCAGATCTTGGGAGTTAAAGGGTTAAACAAATTCTCTTTGTCAGTCCCATAAGAAATGTATCGAGAACAGTATGAAGATAATGTATACTGGTGTTGGGGTGTAAAGGGTGAATATCTGCCTTACCTCTAGACCTTCCTCTTTGCCTGATAACAAGGCCTCCTCCAAAGCTTTTTGTTTTTCATTCTACAATCAAAATACATTTCCTTAAACAATTAACAAGTGAGACTGACTTTAGTCAGGAAAAAGGAAAGACATGCAAAAACTAAGGAGTGTTATGGAAATTTAGGAAAGCCAATTTGTTGTATGAACAAATAAGTTACTACCTCTAGAACTGATTTGCTCTTGCGACCACTTCTCCTAACAGGAAAATATTCAGACACCTCAGTTTGTCGTGAATGCTTCACTTCTTTTTTCTTGCTGAAAAATTTAAAAGCAAAGAAGATAAAGGACATAAAAATCTTTGGTTGAAAACCAACTTGCAAGTTCTTTAACCCTTTAACCTCTAAAAGTGACTAGCATCTAATTTCTCCTCACAATATCACCCTTGAATCAAACATTAAAGTCATGAGAATAAAGGAAATGATCACCAACTAAAGAAGCTCTTGATTGTTGAACAAATTCTCCTTGTCAGAACCCTAAGAAATGTCTAGGGAGTAGTATGGAGAGTATGCATACTGATGTTAGGGAGTAAAGGGTTAAGGAATGTCTCCTGCAAGCTACAATGGTGAGAATAGAGTGTCTTACTTAAGAGCATAACACAATCATCCAGCAAAATCTCAGGCCCAGACCTCTTGACCCACACTGAGCGAACCTCTAGGTTACCATATCTTCCACACTATAACTTTGTATTACATCATTTCTATAACTATCCTAACTATAACCATCACAATTTCTTCAAATGTGCATTAGCTGCTTCATCTTTCTCTTATTATTCTGTAGAGTTGTAATCAGACAGTGTAATCAGACAACTGGCTGTAATCAGACAGTTAAATTAGCCAACTATACTAGGCCCACTCAGCTAAATCCACTAAACAGATAATTGATTACAATAGCCATAGCAACAACCTCCTCCCTACAAAACTGGGGAATTTCCAACTTCAGACAATGTGTATACCTTTTGTCAATTTTGACTTTTTTCCAGTTTTTCTTTTTCTTTTGAAATTTTAAGTTATGATTTCTTGGTAATAGGACTTTGTGTTGACCAATTCTGTCTTTAATCATATGCGTAATTAATAAATTGGACTCCTTCTTTGCTGTTGTCTGATTCTGTTAATTACTCATTTGATCACAGATTGAATTGGATTCCTTTCAGTCCTATTACCATTATTAATAACTACTTTTAATAACTACTTGTGGCAAACATGATTCTAAGTAATTACTAATCACAAAACTAACATTCTTTTCTTTTTCTCCTTGGCTTGTGTAGGTGAACTATTTTTCCATTTTAATAGATCAAATGCCTGCTGCTTTGTTCTTTCCTCAATTTCAATGGATTTATTGCATTTCTCATTTTCTGTAGGTGATTTCTTAGAATCTTTAGGCAAAGCTTTGTTCTCTTCATCAACTGTACTTTCTCCTGGCTTTACTGGGTCACTTTCTGTAAGTTCACAGTTTTGTGAATTTGTTGCTGTCTCATGTGATTTTTGGTGATCATCCTTGCTCTGTAAGTTCTGTTCTGTATTATCAGTATCTGTAGGTATTCCTTGTGTGGCTGGTGGAGATGAATTACTTTTATTTCCCTTTTCTGGCTTGGTTGGTGACTTGTCATCCATATTTTCCTGTGAATGCAGTAAAGGAAGGTTAATGCCTTTACTGAATGTTATGCATTTCTTAGTTCAACACTGGAAATACTAAAGGGCTGAATTTTTTACAGGCCTTTTTTTCACTCCTGCTTAAGTAGTGTTCATTGGTGTGAAGATTGCTTCCATGTTCATTTCTTAAACTCCAGTTCATAGAAATGATTTTCATAAATTCACAGTCATTGATTCATCTCTTCCTGGGTTTATTACGAACCAACAAAATGACTAGCTCCCAGTTGGCTTGTTAGCTCAGTTGGTAGAGCACTGCACTGGTATTGCAGAGGTCATGGGTTCAAATCCTGCACTAGCCTGAGTTTTTTCAGGCCTTTTTATCTCTACTACCTAAGAAGTGTTCATTACTGCAAAGATTGCTTTCATATTCATTTCTTAAACTAGAAACCACAATTACACAGGCTGACAGCATCTTGTTCCAAGACAGGATTTGATTGTTGTGTGGGTAGTTAAATGAAAATGGCTGCTAATAAATCCATTATTATTCTGCTAAAACACCACTTTGCTATATTTGAGCAACAGGGTGTGCGAAATATGTTACACCACTGCTGTACTGTGACACACTCAGCTATGCCTTGTGCTCCACTTTCTTGTTCTTACCACATTTTGATGTAAACTGTGATCTGTTACTGAACAGACACATGGCAATATTGAATCTATTTGTTGACAAGCACTCCAAATTATTGGTGAGTGTATAGTTAGAGTTATTTTGGTTTAGATATTATGAAATATGTTCAAACCATTTTCATTAACTATGCTCACTATTACCTGAACACCAGCAACCACTGATTTATGTTTACTGGATTCTTCTAGCAGTTCACTGCTCACTGTCTCTGTTTGAACTTTCTCAGAACCTTGCCTACTGCCTAGAATGAACAAATTTTGTATCCAGAGAGTTAACCAGATGAAACACAACTTTTCAAAATTGTTGCATTGCCTTGAATTTTTAAGTCAACGATGGTAAAATGTAAGTCTTATTTGTGGGCGCAAGTGCTGGTTCTTTCGGATTTAGGTTACATACTTTTTCTTAAGTTAGTTTGTAGGCTCAATCAATGCTGCTCTTGTGGCAGACATGTCTCTGATTGATTGAAATTAAAAATGCTGTCCACACAGCAGTTGTTTATTAAGTCTGGCCTGTTTGTACCGAGATCCAGTTGATTTTTCCCACATAGACTGAGCTTGCCAAATGCCAAAGAAGAAATATTCCACCACAATCTTTAATGTTACCTTTAATTGCAAATTGATATTTCTTTTTATACCTTTGATGCTACCACAGTTTTTCGAGTAAGAAAGGAATCAACAATATTTTTCACACACTGTAGATCGATAACGGCCCATAAACTCGTTTTACACCGATTCATTTAATTTCCAAAACCGGCTAAGGCACTCCTCGTATTCATCTCTTCACAGCTGCACACAGTTGAAACTCACACATGTTGTTAGCATTCCAAAAGATTCTATTCAGCTCTTATAGTTGGATCCTAAAGTATCGGAGAAAAAAGATAATTTACCTTTAAGCGACATGTCTTCTCTGTTGCGACGAAAACGGAGAAACCTTGCTTGAAGGCGAATATGATTTGCTCAACAATAACATGGACTCCTTCCGTTTAGCATTTGTATTTTGTATCATTAATTTTGATTGGTCAATGTATTTGTCCAATGAGAATTCTAAAAATTAGGGAGTCATGGTAGGTAAGGATCATATACTCTTAGGAGTAGGGGAGGGGAAGAACTGTTTTCAATAACGAGGCGCGGAGGGAGGGGGGTACCGGGGACCTTTATCTTCCTAGACTTGAGGAGCCTTTGAGGAAGCCAAGAACGGTGGCCTGGAAGGGATAGCGACTTCTTTTGGAGAATTCGCGGAAGTGAAATAAAAAATTCGCAGAGGGAAAATACGATTGGGAAAAAAAAGTCTCGGAAGTCGATGTCTCTTTTAAGCCATCGTACTTCAAGGACATTGACGCTTTAATTAGATAAACTAACGTAAATTTCAGCAACCTATGCGTTAACTTACTTCGTAAAGACCATATAATGTCTTTGAAAAATTTACTAGATTGATTTTAAATTAAAATCCCATGACCATATTTTTCTCTCGAATATCTAAAAATATATTTAGAACAAAAACATCCGCGAAGGAAGATCGCAGTAAGGGCATACCATTCCTCCTTTGATGAAGCTCTTAGTGAAAGTGAGTTCGTGGCGCCTTTTGATTGGCTGATCCTTAGATATTTATTCTATTTTGGGAAACAGGCTTACCATATTTGGGATGTCTGATGAAACTTTCCGTAAAATTTCCTTGTTCGTAATTGTACACAAAAGGGCTTAGTTATTAGTTTTCTGGAGGAGAAGTGACTTACCTTTGAATTAGTCGTTGAAGGTAAAATGGAATCGAAAAGCATCGACAGAGAAGCCGTCTTAAAATCACTTGTCCTGAACAATTCAACCACAGATGGCCAGCCTAGAAAGAGAAAAAGACTTGACAATTTATCTGCCGAAGAAAGGGCTCTTCGAAGGTGGGCGATCCTTTGTGAACGAAGCAGTGAATCGAACCTTCTATCAAGTGCGATGTATCTCGAAGAAGGTTTCTGTTTTTGTGTAGGGTCAATGAAATTTCATTTTTGTGTTATCTAGAAAACTGAAGAACCGAGTCGCAGCTCAAACTGCTCGTGACAGAAAGAAGGCTCGAATGACAGAACTAGAAGAATTGGTTGCGCAGTTAGAGAAAGAGGTAATAGTAAAAAAAAATCTTCCCAAGTCTTCCCTATTTTTAATCTTAAACTTTATTAACCTGACTTAGCGATAAACAGACGCGATTGATAGAAATTCACTCGAATTTCAAATGAGAAACGTTTTGATACACTTCCTTCGTTAGTTGTGTGAATAGAACTGTTTTCATTCTCCCCTGTTTCATCGCAAGCGGTTGTGAATTTTTAGTTTCGAATCAGTGTTTCGTTTTTGTTTAAGTTGTCGTTGAAAGACTTTCGTTGAAGAAGTTGTTTTTATGTCTTTCGCCACTAAAATTATCTCAAAATGGAAGCGTAATGCTTCTCGATGTTGGCCCCTCTCGAGATCATTATTGATCGTAACTAATAATAAATCTTTTGAACTCGGTATATTTTTCCAATATTAGATTTTTTTAATGCGTCATCCACTCCGGGTAGGCGGAAATCATAAAGGAAATGTACCAAAAGTTTTGTTTATATGATTGTGCAATGATACACCAAGACCAGTAACGTAGTTATTCCTCAATACAATGCCTTGTTGTGTTTTAAGACCGCCCAATTTCTATTCTTTGTGTTCTTACAGAACAGAACCCTTCGCTTGGATAATGAAAGTTTGAGAAAACACTCAGAAGCTGTAACAATCGAAAACTCGGAGTTAAGAGTCCGACTTGGTCTTACACCCCCCGTGTCACCAGCTCCAGTGTCTACAAATTACCCACCAACCTCAGAAGCCAGTCCAGATACTAAATACAGTCCAGTTGTGATCAAGAAAGAAGCAGAATATAACGAGTATGCATCACTCTCAGTTTCTCAGCAGCAGGAACGCCTGATTCTGTTTCTTTCTCTGATCACGACTTGGATGATGATCAACAACAGGTAATGGTGATATTTTTTTGATTTTGTGGGTAAAATTTATTCTTAACCCTTAAGAGAGTGAAAGACTTGATAGTGAAATTAGTGGGATAATGTCTGAGGTGCTGAACTTTTTACTCACTTAGTTGTTATCCACTGAAAATTCACTTTAACTTAGAAATGTGGCAATATCCTCATTTGACGTTACTAGGTAACGCTGGTCATGTAATGGATTTTTGTTGATGAGGAGAACAGCTGGTCCATCACTGGTGGGATTTGAATATGTCTGTTCAGCTGTTTGAATTTATTATCAGTAATTCTGTAAATTTTTTACACCAATTTTTTTTTCATTATGAATGGCTTTCTAGATGGTCTTCTACCCTTTCACTCCCAAGAGTGACCAAAAAATACTTTCTCCTCACAACATCAATACAACATCAAACAGACAAGAAACAGGAATATGAAATGATATCAATTAGGGGGTTGTCATTTGTTTCAACACTTGATTATCAAAACCAAACCTATAAATATTTTCTGGCAGACAGTAAGTATAATTACTTAAGAGATCTTGTGAGTGAATGGGTCAAGAGTATGGGAGGTTGAATTAAAAAAACAAGGAGATGGAATGTGTATCATAAGCATGATAAAAGTAACCTTTGATAGGCATGATTTTAACCCATGATTTGGTGTCTTTTCAGCATGACATGGATTTTGGCCTTTTTGAACTTGATGGGGAAGGAGACTGCCTCACACTTATTCAGCCCAAACAAGAAGCCACAGCAGCCCCAACCTGCTGTCAACTCAACACCAACCCAGATGCAAAAGAGGAAGTCAGAACCACAGATGGCACAGTCCCAGAATCAAGCAGCAGTGACATAACAGTAGCAGACTTAGTTGGAATGGAATGTGAGTCTTTGGACTCTTTGGATGATCTCTGGAACCTGAAAGATTTCTCCAAGGAGTTCAAAGACCTAAATGCGGAACCTGAAATGTTAGGGTGTGAAATGTGGGAGGAGACCTTCACAGAAGTATTGTTCCCATCACTTTTGGTTGTCTGAGCATGTTGTGTTAAGTCAGACTGTTGAGGAGTAGATAAGACAAATGTAATCTGCACCCACTGTCAATAGATAATGAGCACTACATTATTCCAGTAAGCAGCACAATAACTAGCTGCTGTTTAGGAAAGGAGTCAAGAGAAAGAATGTGCTGGCTCAGTAGGGTGGCCAAAAACAAGGCCACTCAGCACCATGCTTAGTGCAGGTGAAGGTGAACAACACCTTATGTTGTGAGATGGTCAGTAATCATCAGACCATCAAAGACCATCCAGTTATAGAAAGAGCTACAGAATTCCTCTAAAACACCTTTCAACTCCTATTACAAGGACTAGTGGGTTTTCTTAAGAGAAGAATTATTTCCTTTGTACTTACACTCACTGGTTAGAACATTTTTGTAGTTATCCAAGATGTTCAATTAATTAGAAGAGTGGTGTTATGGTTGTAGGCAAAATAATTTGTTATGACCTCTGTTATGAATAGATTTTGTATATAAAATAAGAACACAATTCTGTGAAGGTTTCCTCATAGGTTACTATTACTGTTAAATAGTAGTAGTCTGGCACTGAGTCATTAAAAAAGAATTGGGTGACATTGGAGTTGTTCTGTTTCTCAGCCATAACAAAAGTTTTGGAAAGATTTACCACAACTGTACACTTGATTAGGCACCACCTCTCAACCTAGTGAAGCATACAATGAAGAGACACCCCAAGAGAGCATCGCAATTCAAAATACAAGTTACATTGACAAAAAGCAGCCTTGGAAACTTATCATCCTCCAAAGTTTTTCACTCTGTAACAGGAATAGTTCCCTTCCCCTCTACTTAAAGCTTGGGGTTAGATTGTGAAGGGGACAGTGATGTTGAAATTTTTGCTAACATGAAGCAAGCCCGCTTAAATCTCCACAGCACTGCAAGTTGGAAATAAACAAACATATCTTTTGTGCCAAAGATTAGTGACAATTTTAATCATTACTATGAGGAATAAGTTACATTAATTTTAATTCACAATGGAATCCAGAGAAAAAGAAGTGCTCTAAATGGAAATCTCTTCAATGGTTTTTTAGCCACAATTAATTGGCTCTGTTAAATTGTGTTTGTTTAATGATTTTAAGCACCCTTCATCTACCCAGAGTAACCAAATAACTCAAATATTGAGAATTCAATGCACTGAGGAACCTTCAAGGAAACAACAGTCAAAAGGTTTGTGGACAGTTAACATTAGTGAGGATCATACCAGACTGTCTTATTGTACTATCTTATAACCTCTTCCTTTTTTTTTCCTAACTTGACTAGAATACCCAGAAAACTATTTGAGGCATGTTAAGAACTTCAGAGATCAAGCTACCGAAGTCAGAGTACCACAGTGTAAAACAAAGATTAACTTTGACTTTGTAAAGGAACCACACACTAAGCAAGTAACATGTCAAATCAAAGATGAATTTTTTCAAGTTTGTCATGTGTGTCCATCTCCTGCATTTCTGTTTCCTCACTTAATTTTATTATAAGTGGCTCTACCAGTTTGAATTCAGCGGACAGAATGGCATTTGAAGCATTGACTTGTACACACAACAAAGGTGCTACACTTCAGTCAATCATGTTGAATCAGAAGCCCTCAGAGGAGCCAGGCTGTTGGACGGCTTGTGCTTTGCTAAACAAATTGATAGTGAGCTACCATCTGTCATCAGTGTAACCTTCAGTCCCAATGACTGCAGAAGTTTTACCTACAATGTAATGACCAAAAATAAGCCCCTTACCCATTTCCCCTCCAATAAACTCAGGTTCATTTATTAAATTATTTTCACACCACTCTTTCCCCACTCCCAACAACATAAGGAAATGCAGCAAATGTAGTAAAAAGAACCATAATCAAGGTTTATCACTTGTAGATATTGGCACAAATAGAGCACATTTCCACTGAGTCTTCTAAAAATCAAAACAAAAGCAATGGTGTCAGACAATCAGGAAAAAAAATCACTATCACCAAAAGCTGATGTCAGATGAGGAGAAAAAAAGTAAGACAAGTGTCAGGAAATGATGTCAATCAGGTTTTCATTTTCCATCTAATCAGTTGAGAGGATGATGGCAATTTCCAAGAACAATCACCTGTCAAATAGAAGATAACCCCATCCAACCCTTTTCTAGGTGATTCTGCTCTATCTAGTTACAATCTCTCCACAGAAATAAATCATATGTTTTAAGTACTTTTGTTTTGTCAACACCTTAGGTTAGGTTAGTTAGATGTCATAAGCCAACTGAACTAAATAAGTTACTGCAGCACATACCTGCATCTCTTGTCCAGCTGTAGCCTGAATTGCATCAGAATCAATTGGTGAAAACATGTTTTTTGTTATTTCAGCTTTGATCCTTGACATTTCTTTGGCTTTCATTACATCTACAGTACTCTGTCCATGCTGGTTCAGATGCTGTACTTTGGATTCCTTACAGGGGTTAATGTGATAAGTCAAAACATTAACATACATAAAACCAACATAAATGTAACCAGATTATTGGTAACAAGGAAGATGGTAAATTTTGAGCTTAGCCATCAAAAATTGAGATGGGTCCTAATCACTTTGTAAATCACCTATGTGGAACAATGATTACACTGAGTCACCCAGAGGGAATTAATTGCATCAAATGAACTTAGTCAGTCAACATGATTTACAAATGATTGCTATCTGGGAGGCATCCAATTCCTTAAGCTTATTAGAAGACACAGTCTCTCCAAAAGCGGTTGGGTGCATTTTGGGGGTTATAGCGGGTTTCGCCCATAACGAGTTTCGCACATATCGTTTCGCCCAGAACAATAAAGGTTTCGCCCATAAGTAAAACTTCTACACTCTCACTCGGAAAACGTCAACCTTATAAACGTTTGTATGCACAGAATGAAGAAAAGTGACTTGACCTGAGATCATGAAATTTTGAAACGAACAAGTTACTGTTGAAACGAACAAGTCAATTATAGCTTTCACTGTGGAGCGGGGATTGTTAAGGTAATTCGCGCACGAAATACTGCAGAGACGTCCGTTTGTCGTAAAAGCATTGTTATGATTTTTTTGCATCACTTTTCTTCTCGAGAATTAAATTAAACGCTTTTGAAAACACTTTCAACTTCTTCCCCACAATATTGTTATTTAGACTGGCTAAAATAAGGTTAAAGAACATGGAAATACAAAAGCATGCCATGATTTCAGCAAACTTCTAGAATAGCCGGCTGGCAAATTACATGCATTTTGCCAAAAATTCTACCTAACAATGCACATGGAGCAGTCTCTAAAATAAACAAAATTTATACACCAACTTATGATTGATGTGTGATTTGAGTCTATATACTTTTTTATGATTTGCAATAAGATTTTAAAAAATTAAGTAAAGAAAATCTTCACCTTCATCCTGAAAAACAGAGCTGCAAAAAACTCTCAGCTCAAGGCAATGTATTGTTTTGTTTATCAGCCAATTAATGTAAAAGGGGAAAAACTTCAGAGGCCATGCAGGATAGCTATGACAAGATTCAGGTTTATCAGAATAATTCATTTTGTTCATTTAAGAACTATTCATCTTAACAGCACTTAGAGTGCTGTACTTTTAATTCGAAAATGTAACCTTTGATCTAATAAATTTTCACCACAAAAACTTATTTATTGAAAGGTCCCTTCTTTTGTGTTTATAAACTATAAGTTTGCATAAAATTGTTGGCAGCAAGATATTTTTAGAAAAAAAAAAAAGATGGATAATTGATTTGGGCAGAAAACTGGAAGGAAGGAAGATCCTGCACAAGTAGCTAACGATATACACAATGCTTGTAACACCCATAGCATGTTTAATGTTTAATAAAATGGAATGGCTTTCAAAGCTCCAAATCCAGGGATTTGTAAAACAAAATCACAACTGAACTGCATGAAAAATCACAACGAAACTGTATGAAAAAATCACAACCAAATTATGAACATTCACAAAAGCATTACACAAAACTAATTATTGATTTTTATCAAACAAATTGATATCGATGTTCCTACCTTTGAACCACCATGGTGCCTTGAAATATTGAACAAACAGTCCATAGAAATGATACTTTTCTTGAGTTCTGTAGAGAAGCTAGCACTACAGCTTGCTGTCCAGCTGGTTTCTTCCTTCCGAAAATAACATTCCACATAGTTTGTGCCCTTAAGGGATGCTTTCTCCTTCAGATTACGCCAAAGTCTCTGGTAAGATTCTCTGACGAATGTATGGGATGAGCTGAAATATGCACCTAGACGCATCATTCTGCAAAATGAATATCAACAGCAATGTAAAGTTGTTTAAATAATACCCAATATAAAGGGGACCCCAGGTTTCAAATCAAGGGTTAACAATCAGTGGTAGGCAGGGTTCTCCCTAGTTTTCAGCACAACAGGTAGGGGACCTTTTCAAACCAGTAAAGCACATTTACAGCTTCAGGCAGCTGGTCATTCTCAACTTTGTCATTTCCTAAAGCATACAGTACATCACACCTATCAAAAATACTCCATCGAAAAATTCGTAATGTGAACAATACACCTTAAGGTTCAGAGGTTGAACAAAACAAAGTAAAATTTTGTTTAAAAGCATTATATTTGACTATGCCCTTTCCAAACTGCTTATAATGTAAACGGTAACCAGTCAACTCGCAGACGGACCAACTCGCCGACGCCAACTCGCCGACGTATAAAATCGAGTAGAGACGTCGGCGAGCTGGTCGTCAATCCAATACAACTTATTAGAAGTTAAACATACAGAGAAGTAAACGATATTTAGTAAAAAAACACTGGCGAACATTGGTGAACATCAAACAGAAGCTTAAACATCGGTGAACATTGGTGAACATCACCAATGACTATAACGAACGAGTTATTGTGCAACAACAACACCGTAAAGACTCATCTTGTCAATCACTCAGATTTTTTACGAAAACTTGGCTTTCTAGACGAGATCTTTAGTAAAATGCAATTATTTTTATTTGCAACAAAGTTTATAAGGATCTTAAGGCGAATAAAGCGAAGTAAACCTCACCAACGACTCTAACAGCTTCAGACGCGAACGAGTTATTGTGTGACAACAACACCGTTAAGACTCAGCATGTCAATCGCTCAGTTTTTTTAACGAAAACTTGGCTTTCTAGACAAGATCTTTAGATCAAGACAAGATCTTTTAAACTTTGTTGCAAATAAAAAGAAATACTTTTTACCAAAGATCTTGTCTAGAAAGCCAAGTTTTCGTTAAAAAATCTGACCGATTGTCATGATGAGTCTTTACAGTGTTGTTGTCATAAACTCGTTCGTGTTTGAAGCTGTTAGAGTCATTGGTGATGTTTACTTTACTTTATTCGCCTTGAGATCCTTATAAACTTCGTTGCAAATAAAAAGAATTGCTTTTTACTAAAATCTTGACTAGAAAGCCAAGTTTCCTTTAAAATCTGACCGATTGTCATGATGAGTCTTTACGGTGTTGTTGTCACACAATAACTTGTTCGCGTCTTAAGCTGTTAGAGTCGTTGGTGATGTTTACTTCGCTTTATTCGCCTTAAGATCCTTATAAACTTTGTTGCAAATAAAAAGAAATGCTTTTTACTAAAGATCTCGTCTAGAAAGCCACGTTTTCGTTAAAAAATCTGAGCGATTGACATGATGAGTCTTTACGGTGTTGTTGTCGCACAATAACTCGTTTGCGTCTTGAGCTGTTATAGTCATTGGTGATGTTCACCAATGTTCACTGATGTTTAAGCTTCTGTTTGATGTTCACCAATGTCCAATGTTTTTTTACTAAATATCATTTAATTTTCTGTATGTTTAGCTTCTAATAAGTTGTATTGGATTGACGACCAACTCGCCGACGTCTCTACTCGATTTTATACGTCGGCGAGTTGGTGTCGGCGAGTTGGTCCATCGGCGAGTTGACCGTAAACCATGTAAACTGGTCTCCCTTCAATTTAGGGTGATATCTTTGGCATCACTTACATGGCATATTGCTGGAAAATCAGCAGTGCCAACTACGAATCACATCACTATGAAATTGAATTAAGGGTTTTGAACATTTGCAGGCAGTAATAAGTGTTTTTACAAGCAGTAAATTTTACCAGTTACCGCCTGATAAGGAGAACCCTGGGTAGGTTTCAGTATGTTGCAAGAATAACTGTGGATGTTACCTTCATCCAGCTTATGGTTTTTGCTAAATCTTTGGAGCAAGTTGTAACCGTGTTTACGACAGATATCAAACACTGGCAAAAAAGAAAAATAGACTGAAATATGAGTGGTCAGCGGAGAAACAACTTTAATACTTCATATAGAGACAGATCAGTTGTAGTTGCAGACAACAGTTGTGTTGTAAAGCCAAAATGTCAACAGTATCCTTCACTAAATGAAATGTTGAGCAACTTTTCAAAAGTGTTGATTGTACATATATCTTTTACTGCCGTAATAAACAATGGAGACATCGGGAAAGGCATTGGTGGCATCCGGAATAGCGCCAAAAAGAATCATATTTACATTTTGTAACTTGCTGTGTGACAAAGAAACAAAACTAAAACTGTGGCCACCAAATAATTTTCCCACCTTGCCCCAAAAAATATTCAAATTTTTCACAATTTCGCCTGTTCCTGTTTGTAGGTCCGGCCAAGCCTTTATGGTCATTGGCTCCTGCATCTATAGCCCCTAACTATGGCTTACAAATACAGGTGTTTAGTGTTAACTTGTAAAACTCCCTGAAAAAGTCTACGACAGTTAGATGAAGTTTTTTACAACTACTGCTTGCAAAGTGCTTCTCATCAGTTAAGTTTTTTTAAAATTTTTTAAAATATTGGGTGCCATAGCAGTCTGTGTGTCATTTGTCCATTCAATTTTTGTTCAAAATCAAAATTGATGTCAATTTTTTTATTTGCAAAAGTGCCAAATCGAAAATTTTGGTTCCTTTTGATACACTATTGAAAAATAACTTATATTTTTACTTTAATCCTGTCAACAATAAAGAAAAAAATGAAACTGAGTGGCAATGTTGCTTTTCCGACAATATTGCAGTCTGTGGCATGGCTTAGTAATTCTGTTTTTGGCAGAAGTCTTAAAATTGAAAATTGGCCAGGTCAGCTTCCTTGCTTAAGGGATTGGGAAGGAGTGAGAGTTTAACTGTCTCTTCGTAGTCTTTCACAATGTTTTGGAGCGTCTCAAGCAGAAATAACACGCAAGAATGTGAAGGAACCTCCTACGTTCCAAGAACTAGTAGCCGATATATTTTTGGAGGAAACCGCTAATGTGATTTACATCAGTCCAAGGCAAGAGATGCATTCAACGATTCACCTCTAGAGTTGGTGATCACGCTTGAACAAACACCGAAAACTGATTGAGCCGTTCACTGCCGCTTTGTTAGAAAGGGAATTTCCGCAATAAAACATGTTTACCAAAATAAAGATTCTGATGCTGTTACGTATGCATTCAATGTTTAATTCCTATCAGTACTGTTAATAAATCATGTTGAGTGATATGCTGACTGCTCATTTATTAACGACAGCCGGGAAAAAAATGAGTCTTGACAAAAGCTTACAAATTCACGCTAAAAGCTGAAAAATTATTTTGAACCCTGAAGACGGCTATACAAACAAGGAAATGAAGATAGAAAAAAGAAGAAAAGAGCGAACAACAAGCTCTTAAGTCTAATAAACTTATACTTACCCGAGCAACGACGTCCCGAGTGCACTGCTCAAGCTCATCATTTGACAGGCGGTTGTGTAAATTTATCCAATTCTCAAAACAAAACCTCTTAGCTGACCTCGAACTTCCTTTTAGCAATAAGCTCACCTCGGAGTGTGTTTTTCTTTGAGTTATTACAAGATCCTTCATGTACTCAGCACTGAAGTCGTTCATGTTTGGAAAAGTGACAGCGCGGTAAATACGAATTTCCTGAAAATTTCCAAACGTCACTTTGGTTCACGTTTGAAAGAGTATCAAAAAGCGGTTTTCTTTGACAATAAGGAAAATTCAGCTTTATCGGAGCACACATGCCTAACTAACCATACAAGTGGGTGGGATAATTCTAAACTTATCACCACTAATCGGTGTTACCACCAACGGTTTTGTTTGGAAGCTTGGCATATTAACTCCGCCCACGCTCCGTCAAATCGTGACGATGGCGGCTTACTTCCTGACGCCTATCTACACCTCGTTTAAATCACCGCTAATGAGGGCACCAGACAGGAGTGTCGAAACGTTGGGTCTATGAATTGTAACTTCTTCGGTTACATTCAATAATTTGTAAACCAGAAAAGCATCAAACCATGTCTGATTGTCCACCTGTTTGCAGTGTGGACTTTCATATACGAATTATTTCCCGCTTCCTCCTTTTCAGAAAAGTGTAGCGTGGGAGGGGAGGGAGGGGGACAGGGACAAAAAAAACAAAACAAAACAAAACAAAAAAAAATTCACATGGAGGGAAAGGGATCTGGGGAGAGCGCGCTAGGGGCAAAAAAATTACCATGCGAATAGACCCCTCTCCCTCCCTCTTGGTTAGTTCTGTCAACTATTTTGAGTGTTTTGGCTGAAAATGTAATTTTCAATTTTCAATTTTTACACTTCTGCCGAAACATAAAGAGTAAGCCATGCCACAGAATGCAATATTGTCGGAAAAGCAAAATTGCCGCTCAGTTTTATTTTTCTCTTTATTGTTGACAGGATTAAAGTAAAAATATGAGTTATGTTTCAATATTTTATCAAAAGGAAAAAAAGTCCAAATTTTCGATTTGGCACTTTCGTATTTTTTATGATAAAAAATAACGAAAATCCAAAATTGACATCAATTTTCAATTTTTGATTTTAAACGAAAATTGAATGGACGAATGACACACGGGCCTTCTTAATTGAAACAAAAACAAAAACAAAGCTAAACAAAACAAAACAAATACAAAACAAAAACCGATAAAACGGAAGTTGATTTTCTTTTTTTGTCTCATTTTGTACACAAAACAAAAAACGATGATACGAAAGTTGATTTCGTTTTTTGTTTTTTCGTTCTAGCTTGCATTAAAAAACAAAAAGCAATAAAACGAAAGTTGATTTTCGTTTTTTGTTTTAGTGTGTACATAAAACGAAAAACGATAAAACGGGAAATTGATTTTCGTTTTCCATTTTTTTTTTAGTTTAGAAGAAAAGATAACTATCACTTATTAAATTTTGGTAATTTTTGATGATTTTGACAATTTTCCTTTATACGTAAATCAAGTCTCGCGACCATGCTTTCAAATTTACTGAAACGATGTGTTTTA